TCCCCAGGCAGGATGAGGCTCCCAGGTGCCTTGAAAGACCTGTTCTCACCCTCCTCGCTCTCCTGAAATGGCAGCTGTGCAAACCAGCAAGTGTGGAAAGAGAGGAAATCCTTAAAATGATCGCCAATCGAGTTTAGCATGCAAACGGCCTGGTCACACCTGTTGTGTGAATGCAGCCTCCGCAATGCCCTCCTTGGTATTTCTTCCGGCTAGGCCCTTCCAATTGACCCACCCTCCACGTGGCTTCTGGGCTCCTTTTAGAGGGAAAAAAAACCCATCTCCACGCCGCTTCTGCAGGAACCAATTGCAGCCCCCAGTGCCATTTTATTTCTCATTTTCTTTGCATTCCCTGGAGACATCCTCAGAAATTCTAGGAGCCTAAAATAGAGGTTTTAATGGGGTCTACAGAAGTAATAGAAGTCCCTGTTTCTCTGCAGGATAATAACTTTTTTGGGCTCCTGTAATCTGGTCTGGTCCTTTCCCTTTCTCACTTTCACTCTTTCGAGGCTTCAGTTCATTCCTTTCCACCCATCTATGACTAACCTCTCCCTCCACAATGCTGAGTGGAATCCACTGTGGGAAAATTAGATCCTTCACCAGGACTGGAGAAGAAGCGAGATTCCGAGACTCTCCTTGCCTCCTTCCCCCACCACTGCGAAAGGCTTTCAAAGGTCAGCTGGGGCATTGGCCCATTCTTCCCCTGGGGAAAAGCTTCTCTGGGACAGCTTCTGTGCATGCGCAGATCAACTTTGATGACGTCCACGTCAATGGGAGGAGCCTCCCACCAGTTTTACTACCGGTTCTTGCGAACTGGTCCAAACCGGGAGCAACCCACTGCCTCTGCATCCAGTGTGGCTTTTAACTCCCTCTGGAACCATAAAAGATCCCATTTGAGCTCAGGGAACTGAAGGAAAAGCTTGCGTAAATCAATGATGGGTGTCATTTAACACTGTTTTGAAAGAGCCTTGGTGGCGCAGTGGTTAGAGTGCAGTACTGCAGGCTACTTCAGCTGACTGCTAGCTGCAGTTCAGCAGTTCAAATCTCACCAGGCTGAAGGTTGCCTCAGCCTTCCAGCCTTCCAACTTGGGTAAAATGAGGTCCTAGATTGGTGTGGGCAATAGCCTGACTCTGTAAACTGCTGAGAAAGGGCTGTAAATGCACTATGAAGCAGTATATAAGTCTAGGTGCTATTGCTAGAGCTATTTCCCGGATAAAATCTGAAGAAGTGTCCTTTGTCTATTCTATTTTTTTAAAAAAAAGTGGAGGGGAGGAAAGTTTCATTTATATGATAAAGCATGATGTAAACCTGACTCTTGAACAATAATTTATGCATTCAGATGGAGAATAAAGAAATCTATATACACCAGTAGAATTTTTTTGTACATCTTTATGTTGGGTTACGGGAATCAGTTTTCAATTTTTTTTCAAGTATCGATTTAATACTTTAAATTCTGAACAAGAATTAGTCAGAAACACTGGTTATGGCAAATCTTGTTTTGATGAAATAGGTTCCCATTAAAATGATGCCCATTCCTACCATCAGATAAATTAGATAGAGTTAACCTTTCTTTAAAATAAGGACAATAAAGTGTTTAATACAGTCCAAAATGGAAAATCTCAAGTATCTGGATTTAAAGTCACAACTACCTGCAATGTGAAGACAAAAAACACAAAGCAGATAATGGAAAATGTGATGTCTTCACAAAGCCTGACTGTTATATCACATCCTCTTAAGAAGATACCTTATCCTAGAGCTAGACATTTAGCAATATATTGTGATGATTTTGTTGCGTTGTACAGTGTTCCTCTTTACAATGGATATCTGGAATAAAATTTTAATAATAGTCGGGCTTCAGGCCTGGGTACAGCACGGAAACGGCATTGGTCGCATTGGTTGATGATCTCTGGAGGGCTCGGGACAGGGGTTGTTCCTCTGTCCTGGTCCTATTAGACCTCCCAGCGGCTTTTGATACCATCGACCATGGTATCATGCTGCACTGGCTGGAGGGGTTAGGGGTGGGAGGCACCGTGTTGCGGTGGTTCTCCTCCTTCCTCTCCGACCGGTCGCAGTCAGTGTTGGCAGGGGGGCAGAGGTCGACCCCGAGGCCCCTTGTACGTGGGGTGCCACAAGGGTCGGTCCTCTCGCCCCTTCTGTTCAACATTTATGTGAAGCCGCTGGGTGAGATCATCCGTGGTTTCGGGGTGAAGTACCACCAGTACGCTGATGACACCCAGCTGTACATCTCCACCAAACCACCCCAATGATGCCCTTGAAGTGATGTCCCGGTGCCTGGAGGCTGTGCGGATCTGGATGGGGAGGAACAGGCTCAGGCTCAACCCATCCAAGACTGAGTGGCTGTGGTTTCTGACATCCCGATATAGTCAGTTGGTGCCATCACTGACTATTGGGGGCGAGTCGTTGGCCCCCACGGAGAGGGCTCGCAACTTGGGGGTCCTCCTGGACTCACAGCTGTCTTTAGAAGAGCACTTGACGGCTGTGGCCGGGAGGGCGTTTTATCAGGTTCGCCTGATTCGCCAGTTGCGTCTCTTTCTGGATCGGGACTCGTTAAATACGGTCACTCATGCCCTCGTCACTTCCCGCCTGGACTACTGCAATGCTCTCTACATGGGGCTCCCCTTGAGGAGCACCCGAAGGCTCCAGCTGGTCCAGAATGCGGCCGCGCGGGTGATTATGGGAGCGACGGGGCGCTCCCATGTGACTCCCCTCCTGCGCGAGCTGCACTGGCTCCCGGTGGTCTTCCGGGTGCACTTCAAGGTTTTGGTTACCACCTTTACAGTGCTCCATGGCTTAGGACCGGGGTATCTACGAGACCACCTTCTGCCACCAGTAGCCTCTCACCAACCAGTACGCTCCCATAGAGGGGGGCTCCTCAGGGTGCCGTCGGCCAAACAATGTCAACTGGCGGCCCTCAGGGGGAGAGCCTTCTCTGTGGGGGCACCCACCATCTGGAACGAGCTCCCCCCGGAGATACGGAGGATCCCGGACCTGCGCGTATTCTGCCGTGCCATTAAAACATTTCTTTTCCAGCAGGCCGGCCTGGCCTAAACCTCCCTTTTAAACTTTTTAAAAATTTTAAGTTTTAAATTTGTCTTTGAATTTGGGATGTTTTAAATTTGTTTTTCGGGCCAATTATTTAATTCTATTTTAATGGTTTTTTAACATTTGTATTATATGTATTTTATTTGGCTGTTCACCGCCCTGAGTCCTTCGGGAGTAGGGCGGTATACAAATTTAATAAATAAATAAATAAATAAATATTTTCAAAGAACTCTATTAAAAATGAAAAATGGGAGGGTCAGCTAAAGAATTCTACGTAGTTAATATTTCACAGGACAGATTCAACAGGGAAAAGGGAAAACTGAGTTGATATTGCCCAAGCAATAACAAAGAGTGTACAATTTTGTTATTGGGGATGGAGAAATGCCTTAAATAAGGCAGATGGATTAATACATGAAGAAGACAAAAAAGGAGATATAAATTAATTAACGAGAAATGAATTGTTTTCTTTAAAAGTATTTTAAGGTTCTAAATGTTAATTTATCATTCAACCCAGTAAGTATAAATATAATACCCTGGATGTTGTTTAGGTTGTCTCAATTCATATTAGGCTTTTGAACATCTCTGTTCTGACAATATTATGCACATATTCAGATCTGCTCCTATACAGAAGAGTGAAGCCCCATAGCAGCTGGGGATTCTACATGTCTTTAATCTCTACATTATGGAATTGAGATTATTTGTGCCAGAAAGTAAATCTCCCTTTGTCTGGAATAGCTGTTTTGAATGCAAAGGGGAAAAATGCATCTTTGAGCCTGTGTCAAATGCCCACCATGGCCACGCCCACCCCGACCACACCCACCCCGGCCCTCCTAGGTCAAACAAAACCCTGATGTGGCCCTCAATGAAATCGAGTTTGACACTCCTGCTTTAGATTCATTTTTGAAAGGGACACATAGACTTATGGGTAAAGTCCTCACTATGACCAAAGTAATTTGTAATGCTTGGGCTTTGAGAAAGGTAAATTGAATTTGTTCAAGTTGTTCCAGATGGAAATTGGGAAGAGAATCAACTTTTGGTTCTGCCTCACATGCAGGATGTGAGAATTAGATTTCCTCATGAAAAGTTTTGTAAAGTTTTTTTTTTTTTTTAAACACACAAACAAATATACAATGCACCTTTTCTGAACAGAATATTGGCCCTGTTTTAAATTTGTGCAGATTTTTGTTCATCTTTAGCACAATTTTATATATATTCAATTTTTCTCGTATCTTTTATTTTCTCTAAATTTAAAAAACCAATATTACCCTTCATCTTAACGTCTCATGGTAGTATAATTCCTTTTTTCTTTTCCCTCCTTAAAAATTGAACCCCTAAATTTAAATTCACAGAATACAATCCCCAATTATTTCCTTAAATTCTCTTATTCTACTCACCAATAATTTTTATCAACTATTCCAAATAATACATTTCAACAGTTAAACATATTCAATAAAGAAAAAAAAATCTATTAAATATCCATTTTACTTCAATACCCCTATATTTAAATTCATATTTTTTTTATTATTTTTTTTTTTATTTGATTTATATGCCGGCCTTCTCCGAAGACTCAGGGCGGCTTACAATGTGCTCAGCAATAGCCTTCATCCTTTTGTATATTTTATACAAAGTCAGCTTATTGCCCCCACAACTGGGTCCTCATTTCACCTACCTTAGAAAGGATGGAAGGCTGAGTCAACCTTGAGCCTTGGCGAGATTCGAACCCTGCAGTAATTGCAGGCAGCTGGTCTTAATAAGCTTAATAACAGGGTGCCTTAAACCCCTGTACTACCAAGGCTCTACATAATACAATTCCCAATTATTTTCTTAAAATTCTCTTATTCCAATCTCAGAGTTTTTTCTTTACTAATTATTCCAGATAGTACATTTTGACATTTTTATCAAGACCATTAAATATATCTAAGTATTTCATAATCCAATATCATTTCAACTTTCTTTTATTTAGTTAAGTTCCAAATATATAATTAAAAATATTCCATTTGTTACAGTACCCTTCATTAATTAAAAATATTCCAATTCTTACATTCATCATACATCCATATATTTTATACTCACTTCCTTAAAGATACAGTTCATTTCTTCATATTAACTTAGTTTATTATTTACCATTCTATTACCGTACTTTATCAATTTATACTTTTATTTATATATATATATATAAATATATATATTTATTTATTTAAATAAAAGGGGAGAATGGCCTTAGGCAGCCCTAAGCCCAACCCTTGGCCGTCCTCCACTCCCTGGGTCTTCCAGCATTTGGTCATTTCATATCCCCAGTCTCAAATGGGGCCTCCAGATTCCTGCAGGAAAATGGGCCAACAGAAAATGAGCCGCCCCAATAGGTCCAGGCTATTCCAGGCTCCTCCGGGAGCGTCTCAGGCAACATCCGCCATCTTGGGTATGTGCAGGGAGACTTTCATTTGATCCAACCAGCAGATCAAAAGCAGATGAACCAGTGGAATCTCTATGCCTTAAATAAGCAATAATTATATAAATATATGAATTAGAGATGGTTTCTCAATATAAAATGAGAATACAATAAACTAGAGTGTCCCAGGTCAATGGCCACAGATTTTGTGCTAAACAATAAGCAATAATAAGTTGTTTCCCTTCTTCACTGGGCAATGTGGAATCAGTGTCTTTGATAGTCCTCTGGGTCCTCCATCCTCCATAGGTTGTGTTGCGCTGCAAAGCAAGAAAATGGAGGAAGTCAACACCCTGGTTTATATGGGGATGGCCTTTTCTCTCCTCTCCTTGGCTCCCTCTTCCCCCCACAGCAACCCCCAGGAGGCCTGGGGGGAAACAGCCAAAGTGGAGAAGGGCTTGAAATTCTCATTCACAGAGAAGAGAAAGGAGATCTGAGGGAGGGATCCTCTCTTTTCCCTTTAGAGTTATTTCCCATGTTACTCTTTTAGCTCATCCTCATCAAGGAGCTTTTTTTTCTGGACAGCCCCTCCCCCCATGTTTCTCCAGCTCCCTAATCTCTTTCTCTCCCTCCCCTCCAGTCCTCCTTGGAGAGACACCCCTTATTTTCTCAGGGTGCCGAACACTTTCTTGCATTCTCACATTCTTTCCTCAGAGCTGATAAGAGACTGAGCTGGGCTGGATGTTTCCTGCAGAGCAGCTGATCAAAGAGTCCCAGGCAGGAGGGGCTGAGCCCCAAAGGAACCCCAGGCATCTCTCCATGGCTGCCTTGGAAAGACAGGGGTGAAATGCTCCCAGTTCAGACCGGATCGCCTGATCCAGTAGTGATGGCGGCGGGTGGTTCGGAGAACCGGTAGCAAAAATCCCTGCCCCCTCCCCCCATGCCCATCTGAGCCGCGGTATCATCAGAGGCTTTTGTTTTTATTTTTAAAAGCATTTTTTCTTCCTCTTTGGCCAAAAAAATGCTTTTAAAAGTTAAAAAAAAGCATCTGATACCGCGGCTCAGCTGGGATCGTCAGAGGCTTTTAAAAGTATTTTTTTTTACAACCTCTTCAGCCAAGAGGTTGTAGAAAAAATGGTTTAAAAAGTAAAAAAAAAAAAAGTTGGCCATGCCCTCAGTCATATTATCCCCCAGCAAGCCACGCCCACAGAACTGGTAGTAACACATTTTACATTTCACCAGGGTGGATTCCATACCCCCAACCAGCCTAACGGTCTTGGCTGCCAGGTATTTTGCAAGCTCGGAGTTTTGTCTCTTAAATAGATTTCAGCTACTGTCAGGCTCACCTCAGGTTATTGCAGGGTGAAGCATCTCCTACGATTGAATCCCATCTTCTACACTTGTGGGAGAAGGAAGCATTTTTAGAAGGCGTCAACTTGTCTCTTCCTGATGGCGTTTTTTCCTGCATTTCCACCTCCAGCCTGATAGATGGTGAAAAAAGAAGACAGGCAGTTTATTTCTGGGGCAGCAGCTCCTTGTCTGGGCTGGAGAGGATTTGTGCTTAAAAACCCAGAATCTTGACAAAAATATATTTGTGCTTTCCTCTTTTTATTTCAGATGAGAGGCAAAATTGTTGGCTGTCAAGAGTTGCTAAGCAGAGAGAAAATGAAATGAAACCTTCCTGGAGGTTCTTGAGGAATAATTATGTTGAAATTGTCCATATTTCAATTCCAGATTGCATGAGTCACCACAGTTCTGTTTTCACATTGCCTTTCAAAGCTTGCCTGCAGGGCTGATCTCAATAGTACTAAATAGTACTTATCTGTCCTAAATATTCAGGAATCACTTTTAGGCAACAGTGTGGAAGGATTTTGGCATTTCCTTCTTCATGTCTCACTTACTTGCCAGCTCTGGGCTGAAGTTGTGAAAATCTATCCCACATGGTTTTGTTTATACTCCAAATCCTGTTTCCAACCTAGCCAGATCTTTAAAAAAGCAACCATGGCTGATTTTGGGAAGCTAAGCAGGTATGACTGGCTTGGCACTTGCATCCGAAACCAGCAAGCAAGCAAATCTCAAGCAGGTCCAAAGGCCCATCCTGGAAGAAGGAAATGAAGGGAGGAGGAAGCACATCTGCACTGTTGCTGAGAAAATTACATGGATGTGAACGGACAAGAAGAAACGGATGGAAACGGAACAAGGGGAGAAGCAACCTAGAACCAAGGAGAAATTTCCTGACAGTGAGAACAATTACGGTAACCAGTGGAACAGGTTTCCTCCAGAAGTTGTGGGTGGTCCATCATTGGAGGTTTTTAAGAAGAGATTAGACTGAAATGGTATAAGGTCTCCTGCTTGAGGTTGGACTAGAAGACCTCCAAGGTCCCTTCCAAGTTTGCTATTCTGTTCTGTTCTTTGTTGTGCTGCGCTTGGTGAAGCTCAAGTGAGGAGACCCATCCCACATCCCTCCTCTCCCTCACGTCTCTTGCGCTGAGTAGGAGCAGAGGAAGTAGTGGCTCCTTTTACTGCTGGGCCTTCCTCCCTGTAGCTGTCTGTCCCAAGGTGTGGTTGCGAGCAGGGGAAGAGGACACAAGACCCCTCCCTCCATTGCCCCCACCTTCCACCAGAACTTCCCTGCTCTTCCTCAGGATGATGGGTTTTCTAGCCCTTCCCAGATCCTTTATGGGACTTCTATTTGATTCCTGAGTTCCTGATATTTGCTCCTCTGAAGAAAGTAGTCCAGTAAGGGTCAAAGAGACTTCCTCCCAGACAAGAGGAAAGTGGAACATTCCGAGGTTTACAGAAAGTGAAAAAATGGTTTCATGGTTTATTCTTCCTCTCTGACTCCTGTTCCAAATGTTGTTTGTGGGGAAGGGTCTTGTGGGGATCATAGATGAAACTCTCGAAAAGGTTCTGCCATCCAAACTTGTTCAGTCAACGAAGGGGTTTGGGGCAGGGGTGAAATGCTCCCAGTTCGGACCAGATCGCCCGATCCGGTAGTGATGGAGGCGGGTGGTTCAGAGAACCGGTAGCAAAAATCCCTGCCCCCCCCCCATGCCCATACCCCCAACCAGTTTTAAAAGTTTTAAAAGCATTTTTTCAGCCAAAGAGGTTGTAGAAAAAAATGCTTTTAAAAGTAAAAAAAAAAAAAGCCTCTGATGATTGTGTGGCTCAGCTGGGATCATCAGAGGCATTCAAAGAAAAAAAGCCTCTGCTGATCAGGCAACTCAGCTGGGATCGTCAGAGCCTTTTGAAAGCATTTTTTTTACAACTTCTTCGCCAAAGAGGTTGTAGAAAAAATGGTTTTAAAAGTTAAAAAAAATTGGCCACGCCCACCCAGTCACATTACCCCCCCACCAAGCCACGCCCGCAGAACCGGTAGTAACCAATTTTAGATTTCACCACTGGTTTGGGGATGGGGGTCAGTGGATGCGTTTTCACTTACAGCTCAGGAAGAGAATCCCAGGGGCCAAGATTATGACAGCCACAATCGCCATATAAATCCACCACTTTGTAGCTAAAGAAGGAGAAACATGGTTCCAGTTAGACAGATGCCGAGTTCCCTGAAGTGGAGATGCTGAGCAATGGAAGCTTTTCCCAAGCTGCCTTGGTCTCCAGGAAGTGCCCCCACCTGAAGGAAGCCCCTCCCCTCTAAGGCTGTATAGAGGGCAGAGCAAATGGCCTTGACGGGCAGAAGGAAGAGCCACAACCAATCATATATCATATCACAGTATCTCCTATATCCGTGATGGCGAACCTATGGCACGGGTGCCACAGGTGGCATGCGGAGCCATATCGGTGGGCACGCACGCTCAGCTCCGACACACATGCATGCGCCAGCCAGCTGATTTTCAGGCCTTCTGGACCCACCAGAAGTCAGGAAACACACTGTTTCTGGCCTCCGGAGGGCCTCTGGGGGGGGTGGGGAAGGCTGTTTTTGCCGTCCCCAGGCTCCTAGAAAGGCTCTGGAGCCTGGGGAGAGCAAAAAATGGGCCTACCGGGCCCACCGTGCCATCACATGCCAAAAGCAGGGGGGAACACGGGGGGGCAGGGCGCATAGAATTATGGATGTGGGGAGAGCAAAAAATGGGCCTACCGGGCCCACCGTGCCATCACATGCCAAAAGCAGGGGGGAACACGGGGGGGCGGGGCGCATAGAATTATGGATATGGGCACACGTGTGTGTGACCCCACCGTGCTCCCCCCGCTTTTGGCACGCGATGGCAAAAAGGTTAGCCATCACTGCCCTATATCATCATACATCATATCTTCATGCCTTTGCTGTTAACTTACCACCTCCAACTCCCCTGGGAGAAATCACTTCTCTCCCATTGCTAAATGCAGGACTGTACAGTATTTCTTGCTCTCTACCTGAAACATGAGAGGATGTAGCAGAAAACTCCCCGCCCCCCATTTTCAAATATTGATGTAAAATTGACTTCTACACAAAGCTTACTTCTCACATGGCAACCCTTCAGTCTCTCACCTGTTTCCTCCTTCCAGGCCAGGACCAGAGGCTCCTGCAAGCCCTCGTGCTCCAGGTAACACTGAAAATGGTCCCTCTCCTTGGGGTCGATCTCAATGCTGAGCTGGACATAATAGGTCCCGTCTGAATTGGGCACCACGTTCCTATGGAGGGTCTCGTACTGGCAGACTTCTCCGTCCCTCGTCCAGGTGGCCTGGATCTCCTTGGGGTAGAAGCCAAAGGCCTGGCAGATGAGGACCTCCAGGCTGTCATCCACCACCTTGTGAGTCACCTTCCCCACTGGGGGCTCTGCAGAAACAGCAACAACACCTGAGTTTCCAGGATTTCTTGATTTTCAGTCAAGGTGATTTAATAACAAAGAAGAGGATAGGGGAGGGGAGCGGAGAGGTAGAAGGAACCTTGGAGGTCTTCTAGTCCAGCCCTCTGCTCAAGCAGGAGAACTTGGTTCTCATCTCTCCACAACCTGTGGGACCCTCCGAGATAAAGGCATTGAATTTGTCCAGAATCATTTTTGAAAGGGTACACAGAATTCAGATAACATTCTCAGTCTGATTAAAATAATTGTGCTACTTGGCACCTGATCCAATTTTGACTATCTCCTATCTATTTTGACTGAATTTGTTCAAGTGGTCCCAGACAGAAATCAGGAACACACTGATCTTTTCCTTCTGACCCAAAGATGATTTTTTTCTGCTTTGCAAGATTTTCCCAGGGAAACAGAAGGAGACCTTCATGAATTTCTTGATCAGTTAGTTATTTTATTTGTGAAGTTCGTATTCTGGGGAGCATTGAAGATCATTTTTCTCCCGTAATGTGATGTGGGATACTGCCTGACCCTTTTCTATCTATATTTTAAAAGGTGGCTTGGTTGTTTAGGATAGAAACAATATCGGGAGGGGGTAGCACTGCTCAGTGGAGACCCCTTTTGCCACTCACCAATCCTCTGCAGAGCCTCCTTCTTGTGGGACAGGAATCTCTGCAGCCCCTCAATGCAGGTCTCCTCCAGGTAGACTTTAATTTTCTCTGTCCATTCTGGATCCTCCTCCCACTTCTCCTCGACCTTCTGGGCCTGGGGTTGAGTTGCCACCCAACTGAGGGTCTCCTTGTCGAAGCTGATGAAGTCCGTTGCATTGTAGCCGTAGTGCAAAAATCCTCCTTTGCGCCCGTCTTCCCTGAGCTCACAGCCCAAAACCGCCTGCCAAGTGTGAAGCCCTGAAAGAGTCCCAGAGAGGGAATGGGTGTGAATGATAAGAGTCCAGCATTCCTCTCCCTAGACAGCATTAGAGTCACCTGGGGAGAGAAACCCAATTTCTCCTTCCCCTCTTTATCACACAGGAGAAAGTATCTTCTACTTCAATTAATCCTTTTTGGCTGGGGTCAGCCCATGCAGTATTTCTAGGTGAGAGAGATAATTGGGGGTCCGGAGGTGGGGAGTGGGGTGTCTTTCCCTTTTAGGAAAGAACATCTCACTATTATGTCCCCTGCAGGCACCGCTGGCCAAAGATGTCACTGGCTCTGCTCACCTCCAGCGTGGCGGTCTAGTTTTGATACCTTCTCCAGGTCAGCCCTGAAGACTCTCTCAGGGGCCAGAAAGGCTTCCTTCTCCACCTCCTTCATCCAGGGCACCAGAGGCTCCATCTTCCTGGTGAGGCTGTCAAAGTGAGCGATGGGCTGATCGTCCAAGTAGCTCCTAATGGAGAACTGAGGAAGCCCCTGGTTGGGCTCTGGCAGTTGCAGGTAGAAGTAGGACAGGGAGTGTGAGGGAGAGCCTGGAGAAGGAAGAGAGGGAAGGGCAGAATGAGGGGGTCTGCACTGGAGCTCCATCCCCTCCAACGTTTTATGGTCACCCAGAACCCCCAACAATTGAGCTGTTTTCTTTCTGCTCTGCTTGGGAAGGTTTGTTCCCTTAAACCCAAAGAAGAAGCCCCAGCATCCCTTGGCTGACCTTGCAAACATCTGGGCAGACCTACATGTGGTCACAGCTTCTGTGGGCCCTCAGAATTCCCAGCTTCTTGTGAGTGCCTGACTCCAATCACAACCACAAGGAATGTCATAGGACTGGAAGATTGATCTGGAGCTTCATTTTGGAATTGGAGACCTGGCTGCTCTCCAGAGAGCCAACCCAGCCCCTCCCCTGCCCTCCACCCCTTCCCAGGTGACTATTTTCTGATCAGTTTGGGGGCTCCTTGCCAGGTAGCCTGGCCCCTTGCCAACCCAGCGGTTTTTATTTTTACATTTCATTGTCACCCAGCTGCCCTAACAACTGAGCTGCTCTTTTTCTGCTCTGCTTGGGAAGATTCCTTCCTTTAATTTAAACCTAAGCATCCCTTGGCTGAACTTAGAAACAACTGGGCAGACCCACATCTGGTTAAGGTGACCCCCCCCTCCCAGCTCCAATGGCCCCTCGGGATTCCCAGCCAGCCACTTGTGTGCCTGACTCCAAGCACAATCCTCCTTGCCCATTGTCACAGGAGGATTGACTTGGAGCTCTCTTTGAGAGTCAGAGACCTGGCTGCTCTCCAGTGAAACAATCCTGCCATGCCTTCTGTTGTGGCCCTTTGCCCGAGGTGGGTTTCAGCAGGTTCTGACCAGTTCTGGAGAACCGGTAGCAGCCATTTTGAGTAGTTCAGAGAACCGGTAGTAAAAATTCTGACCGCCCCCACCCCCATCTATTCTCTGCCTCCTGAGTCCCAGCTGATAGGGAGGAAATGGGGATTTTGCAGTAATCTTCCCCTGGAGTGGGGAGGGAATGGAGATTTTACAATATCCTTCCCCTGCCATGCCCACCAAGCTATGTCCACCAAGCCACACCCACAGAACCGGTAGTAAAAAATTTTGGAACCTACCACTGCCCTTTGCCATCCCAGGAGAGGGAAGAGATGGGCGAAAAGCAATTGAGCTCTGAAGGTTCCTCTCTGATGGAAAAATTACAAAATAAGGAAATAAAAATAAGGCTGCAAACTCTTCTACAAGCAGCCCCTCCTTTTCTTTGCCCCACCTGTCTACCCCCCCCTCCTCTCTGCTGCAACTTTTTTTTTTTTCTAAGGTGGGTAAAATGAGGACCCGGTTTGTGGGGGGCAATAAGCTGACTTTGTATAAAAATATACAAAAGCATGAAGGCTTATTGCTTAACGCATTGTAAGCCGCCCTGAGTGTCCGGAGAAGGGCGGCATATAAAAATAAATAAATAAAAAATAAATAAAATAAGGCTGCAAACTCTTCTACAAACAGCCCCTCCTTTTCTTTGCCCCACCTGTCTACCCCCCCATTCCCCATCTCCTCTGCTGCAACTTTTCCCACTGCAGCCACTTTTCCCCCATCACCCCCCCCCACCACCCCACCCCACTCGCCTATGGAAATTAGACCAACCCCAGGATAACCCATAACTCGAACCTGGCTGCCCAAAGAGCCCTTCGCTGCTCCCTATTTCGCTATTTTCTCCGGAATACAAATGCGACTTGATTACAAAGGAAACGCCAGAAGTTCCTAAACGAGGGTCGGCGAAGCATCGAAGTCCAGCCGAGAGCATCTCAGCCCCTTTTATTCGACTCCTCCCTCCTTTTTGATAGGCTCAGCCTAGGAAAGCCCCGCCCCCTTTTCGCTCAGATGGGTTCTCTAAAACCGCCTCCGAAGCCTTTTGGCGGCCTAAGATATTTCGGCTGCGTCACTGCCTCTTTGCCGGCACAGAAGCTGGGAGGGAGGAGGATTCCTCCCCAAACAGCAGTTTTTCTCCCCCCCCCCCAAGGGAAACTTCCAGGTTTACGATGAGGCTCGCAGGGGGAGGAGGAGGAGGAGCCGCCGGTTTTTGGATTTGGAGAAGAAAGGGCTTTCGGGCGGCAGTGCTGAGATCCCCTCAGGGAATGGAGGATCTGGCCTTCTGCGGAGGAGGAGGAGGAGGTGGAAGGCGGGCAGTTCTGCAATGTGGGAAGTTCTTACAGACTTGTTGTTGGATGGAGGGAAAGGCTTCGAATTTCCCGGCTGGGAGAGCCTTCCGGCGCCGCGCAAAACCGCGAGAGAAGCAAGCTGCGTGAAAGGAAGTTTTCTTTATTTTTCAGGAAGTCGGATCCAGCGACTGCACAGACCAGCGTTCCTGGGTGAGCTGACATGGTTACAAGGTAAGCCTGCATTCTTCTACTTTTCTGCACAAAGGAAATGTCACTGCGTTATTTTATTTACCAGCTGAGCTCATTATTTCTGGACTGTCAGACTCTCCGTAGCTTTGCCAACTTCTTATCAGTAAGCTACGTGTTTCCGCATCCACCCACATTCCTTTCACTTGCTTCACGCTCTCTTTCCTTTGTTCTCTTGCCGAGGTCCGGCTGACATAGCCGGCAAGAATTACTTTCAAAAATGTAACAATTAACTTTTCTTAGTTAGTGAGGTGTTTTATTTTCTTTATAACAAATAAATGAGTTTTATTAGAAACTTTTCCTCGCGTTTCTTTTCAGATTATTACAACTTTGGAATAAGCCACGATACATCTCCTCCTTTAAACCAGGGTAATTAGTCCCAGAGCCAAACATGGGATTAATAAATGCCCTGACAGGAAATTCTTTGTTTCTTTTGTGCGTCTTCCCTTTGTGTGTGTGTGTTCTTGGATTGCCCTGTTTTCTTATTCTAGTTTTTCCCTACTTGAAACTGGGTGGTGTCTGGGTTATCTGGTCTCATGTTTTTTTGTTTCCTTCTGTTCTTATTATTTGCTCCTTGCCTTAAGCTGATCACATTGTTATCAAGTAAGCCCTTACCCCCCGGCTTGACTCTTATCAGATGGCTTGGGCTATTGATTAAATCTTTTCCTTTTGCTGATCCTCTGCCATTCCTTTTGTTTTGCTCTCCTAGTTTCTGCTGTCTTGATAGTTCCTTTCCTGGCATGTCCTGAGTCTTTTGTGTGTGTCATTTCCCTGGCTCCTAAATGTTCCTAAATGGCCCTGATGTTCATGTGTTCTATTTTGGGAAGGTCATTTCCCTATGCCTGTGGCCTTTTGCCTTTCTAAATTTGCTTGTACCTTACTGATCCTGGCACTGCCTTGGTGGTGTTCCCTTCCTACAATTGTTAACTCATTAAAGCTAACAACTCCGCTTAAAACTTTTTGGATTTAACCTTATATCTTGGACTTTGGGAATCAAAATTTAAAGATTTTAAAGATTTTCTGATTTTTCCTCGCTGGCTATAAGAACTTTTAAGAATTGTTTCTGAGACTGTGTGATCTTAAAATGGCTTCAAAGCAGACAAAATTGGTGCTGCCTAAAGCAGGGAGTGCGGGAAGCTCCCCAGCTCAAACTAGCAGGTTGCAAACTTTATTGCCTCCAGCAGATACACAAGCTCAATTACAGCCACAATGGCAAGCACAAGCACAAATATTAACACTTGAGATGTTTCAGGAAGCCATGAAAGAAATTAAAGAAGGTTTTAAAGAGGACATTGCATTTGCATTTAAAGGAGTCTCAGAACAAATGGAAGAAATGAAGGACATAATTAAGACAAGAAATCAACATATAAGGGAAGATATAGTGCTTGCACTCCAGGGACTGGCAAAACATGTTAGCCATGTAGAAGATAGAATTGATGAGGTTGTTCAAGCCAATGAGATTTTAGATGGTAAAGTTGAGGAATCACAAATTAAGATTGACAAAACAGAAGCTGAAATGCTGTTGACACAATACAAGATGATGGAATTTGCTGTGAGAATAAGAGGCTTGAAAGAAAATTCTAAGGAAAACTTGAAAGAGATTTTTGAAGATGCTCTGGCACAGTTTATAGGAGAGCCCAGAGGTGAACTTGAATGGCAAATTGACTGTCTCTATCATGTTAATTCATGGGTAGCTAGACAAAGGAAACTACCAAGAGATGTTGTGATTTACTTTGTCACCAGAAGGATTAGAAATGAGATTTTACAAGCTGCTTATAAAAATAAGTTGCAAGTGGCAGGACAAGAAGTTGCAGTATTTAAAGAAATACCACCCAAAATGCTGAAATCCAAGAAAGAGTATGCTTTTCTGGTAGATGAGCTGAGGAATCGACAGATACAATACAGATGGGAAGTTCCAGTTGGATTATCGGTGGACTATGCAGGAGAGCGATAGCGTCTCAATACAATATGCAAAGCAAGAGATTTTTATAGTAACATACTAAAGGCTGGACAACCACCAGCAAGAGAGGCGACAGAGGGAAGGAAAGAGGACCTGCAGAAGCAATTGGAAGGCGGAGCTATGAGTATGCAGGAGGAAGTTCTGCAACTTTCAAGTGCTGTCCAAGCATGGGATATAGTTGAAAAACAAGAAGAAGGCAAAGATCAAAGACAAACCAGAGCAGCTACTAAACGTAAAGTTGAAGAGTTAAAAAAGTTACAAGAGCAGGCTTTATCACAAGAACTGAATACTGGCACAGAAGCTGTGGGAGGGGCGAGACCCAAAAGGAAATTCCAAGAGGATTATCAAGCGGTTCTCGCCAAGCTTCGAGAGTCTGAAGATGGCTTCTAGGTTTTTAACCTGGAATGTCAATGGTTTAAACTCACCACAAAAAAGGAAGAAAATATTTCACCACTTGAGACAATTTAAAAATGAAATAATATGCCTGCAGGAAACACATATAAGGACAACTGATCAAAAATATTTAATAAATACAAAATTGGGAACACATTTTGTTGCATCAGCCCCAGAGAAAAAGAATGGAATAGTGATCTACTTGAAAAGAGATTTGATGGCTAAATTAGTTGAGGCAGATCAACAAGGAAGATTTTTGGCAATTGAGATAATGATAGAAGGAAAGAAAACACTTTTATTGGGGATATATCGCACCTTCCACCGTGAGCTGAAGACTCTTTTATTTCATCAAGCTGACCTCGCCTAAATCTTCTCCCTTTTAAGTGCAAATTTTAAATTTTAATGTATTTTAAAATATGGGTATTTTAAATTATGGGTATTAATTCAGCCTAATTTATTTAATTCATTTTATTCTTTAAATTTTGTATATGTATGTGTTTTATTTTATGGCTGTTCACCGCCCTGAGTCCTTCGGGAGTAGGGCAGTATAGAAATTCAATAAAATAAATAAATAAATATATGCTCCTAACCAACAAGAGAAATTTTATAAGTTGATACACACAAAATTACTACATTGGGATTATAATTCATGCATATTGATGGGAGATTGGAACGGAGTGATAGACCCTAGTATTGATAAGAAAAGAATAGTACAATCTACTAAATTACGATCTAGACTGCCTAAGACTTTTTTCGACATGATGGAAGATATGGAATTAAGAGATATTTGCGTGAATGGAATTATAGAGAACAAGATTTTACATTTTTTTCAGATAGACATCAATCCTTTTCAAGAATCGATTTTATATTAACTACAAATGATTTTTTTTCCAGGGTAAAGAAGATAAAGATTTGTCCCAGAATTTTAACTGATCATAGTCCAGTTTGGATGGAACTGAAGTGTGGGGAAAGATCTAGGAGATCTTGGCGGTTAAATGAAAACCTTTTCAGATATGAGAAAAACGTAATAGAATGTAAAAAACTAATGAAGGAATTTTTTGTTTTTAATATGAACAAGGGAACATCTATGGATATGGTATGGGATGCTAGTAAAGCATACATGAGAGGAGTTTTGATAAATATGAATAATGCATATAGGCATAGACAGGTGGAAAAAAGGAGGGAATTAGAAGAAGAGATCAAGAAAAAAGAAAGAGTGTTAATTGATAACCCAGGGGATAAGAAAATCAAAGAAGAGATCAGTCTATTACGTGGGCAATTTAATATGATGCTTTCAGATCAAGTGGCAACCAATCTACAATATGCTAAACATAATACTTTTTGTAATGCAAATAAACCAGGTAGATGGTTGGCATACATGCTGAGGAAAAAACAAAAATCACATATCATAGAGAAAATAGAGTACAAAGGTAAAGTGGTTTATCACCAAAATATGATTAAAAAGGCATTTTTAGAATTTTATGAAAGACTGTATACTGCAGATAAAATACAAGGTGCAGAGATAGAGACATATCTGGATAGACAGAATATTCTTATAGTTACAGAGGAACAAAGAGAACGGCTGAACCAATTAATAACAGAGGAGGAGATCCTCTCAGCAATTAAACAGTTAAAAACTGGTAAGGCTCCTGGCACGGATGGATTAACAGCTGTGTATTATAAATATTTACAATTGGAGATGGTTCTACCTCTTAAAGAATTATTTAATAGAATTCAGTTGGGTGAAGGAGTACCATCTTCATGGAAAACAGCTTTTATTTCGTTAATTCCAAAAGAAGATCAAGATCTGACACATCCTAAGAACTATAGACCCATATCATTATTGAATACAGATTATAAAATATTTGCTAAGATATTGGCAAGTAGGCTAATGCTAGTAATGCAAAAAATGATTCATGCTGACCAAACTGGTTTTATACAAGGTAGACAAATGAAAAATAATGTAAGACAAATTGTTGACATATTGGAATATTTGGAAAGGAATAACCAAATCCCTGCGGTGCTTATATTTTTGGATGCGGAAAAAGCTTTTGATCGATTAGACTGGCAACTTTTATTGAGAGTGGTTAATAGGATGCAATTTGGGAATTGCTTTATACAGTCCATAAAAGCAATATATCAGGAACAGACAGCTCAGATAATTATTAATGGCAGTTTGACAGAAACTTTTAAAATTGAAAAAGGTACGAGGCAGGGATGCCCTTTATCGCCATTATTATTTATATTAACTTTGGAATTGTTACTAAACATAATACGTAATATAGAGGAGATAGAGGGAATCAAAGTTAGAGACTATGAATACAAGGTACGGGCATTTGCAGATGATTTGGTTATGACCTTAACTCATCCAGTGGAATCAGCAAAGGTTTTGATGGATATAATAAAACAGTATGGTCAAGTATCTGGGTTTAAGATAAACATTGGAAAAACAAAGATGATAGTTAAAAATATGACAACAAATCAAAAAGAGGAGTTACAAAGGGTAACGGGATGTGAAATAGTCAAAAAAGTTAAATACCTAGGAGTTTATATTGCATCTTCTAATGATAAATTGTATAAGTATAATTATGAATTGATATGGCATAAAATACAAGCTGAAATGGATAAATGGAAAAAATTACAACTGTCCTTGTTGGGTAGAATAGCAGTTATAAAAATGAATGTTTTACCTAGGTTGTTTTTTTGTTTTGTTTTTTATTGCAAAAGTTTTACAATTACATTTTCACCCCTTTATTGTTTCTAATCTGCCTTCCTGGGAGAAAGCCGTTTTAGTCAGAATGGATCCAATTATTTAAAATCCTCTTCATCCTACCGCGATTACTCATAAATATTTTATAATCCACATTGAGTAGGGAGATCGGCCTATAATTCTTTATTTGTTTCGGGTCAGTATCTTCCTTTAACACCAATGTGATGTATGCCTCCCTCCATGACTCTGGAACCTTGGATCCCCTCAGAACCTCATTGCATATTACCAACAGTAAGGATTTCTTCTAGATCCGTATTTTTGTACAGTTCTCCTGGGAGACCATCTGGGCCTGGAGATTTATTGTTCTTTAAGTTTAATATTACCTTCTTTAATTCCTCCATTGTAATCTCTCTATTAAGCATTTCCCTTTCTTCCTTTTTATTTGAGGGAGTTTCTCCTTTGCCAAATATTGATATTTTCTATTGGGATTTCCTCCTCCTTATATAAGGCCTCATAGTATTCCCGAGCAAATTCAAGTATTCCCTCCTTTTTATTCAGTAGTTTACCATTCAGATCCTCCAATTGATAAATAATTCGCTTTTCCTTCTCCTTTTTTAATTTGTACAACAACCACCTCCCCGGTTTATTGCTCAGGAAGATAAATCTATCTCAGCATCTACTTCTGTCCTACTATCGCAGCATCATTGAGAGTGTCCTGACATACGGCATTCAGCAAATGATTTGGGAGCAGCTCTGTAGTGGACAAAAAAGCTCTACAGAGAATCATTAAAACTGCCCAGAATATCATCGGACTCCAGCTACCAGCCCTGGACGACATCTTCGAATCTCGCTGTTTGAGAAAGTTGCATAACATTCTCAGAGACTCTTCCCATCCTGCTTACAATCCTTTTGGGCCTTTGCCTTCTGGCAGAAGATACAGAACAATTAAAATTTGGACCACACGTTTTCTGAATAGTTTTTATCCCAGAGCTATAATTGCACTCAACAATGAACTAAAGGGCCACCATCAGTGAGCGGTTGGACAGTATTACTTGGCCTGTTGTGTGGATGTTTGAGTGGTTTAGGGGTGGAGAATTGCAGTGGGTGGGAGTGTGTTTGGGGATTGTTATGTGTGTTGGACCTGGTCTTTGGGTGTTAAGTGAATTTTCTTGTATGGGTATATTGTGTATACACTTACAATGACAATAAAGTTATTTATTTATTATTTTAGAAGCACAGCTCTAGGCAGTCTTCCGGGGCAGCCCCAGACACAGCAGTTGAAGCTTTGAGGGGGTTTTCAAGCCCAAATCCTGTTTTCAAATTCCACTTTTTCCAAGTCTCCCCGGAATGATAAGCAAGAATCCAGCATGACCCAAATGAACATATACACAGACAAAGGAAAGAAGAAAATATAACATTTTTTTTTCCAAAAAAGCAAAATACAACAGTGAAAAAAAGAATATGTCATTAGTAAATATTTAAAATGCTACACATAGTGATGTAGTGGAATTATTATTCAAGTATATATAAAGTGTTCCAGTACATCTATACAGCTGCCATTTTAACAATGAGTCTTTTATTTTGTAAAAGGGAGTCTCATATATTCAATATATATATATATATATATATATATATATATATATATATATATATATATATATATATATATATATATATATATATATATATATAAACAACAGATAAATAACATAGCCCTATATAAGGGGAACAACAGATAAAATTAGCAAAGTACTACATAGACACAACATCAAAACCATATTTTGCACAAATAGAAAGATATTGTCCATTCTGAGAAACCCTAAGGACAAAATAGAATTAGAAAACCAAGGCATATACGAAATCCTGTGTGCTTCCTGCCCATCAACATACATTGGACAGACCAACAGAAGAATGAGTGTGCGCATCGAGGAACACAAAAACTCAATACTAAAGCAAGAACACACATCATCATTAGTTCAACACATAAATACAACAGGACATAATATTAATTTTAATAACACAAAACCAGTTGCAAAAATAGAACATCTCAATGGCAGAATAATCAGAGAGGCAATTGAAATAGAGAAAAGACCATATTGCATGAATAAATGGGATGACACTTCACGTCTGCCTACTATTTGGAAACCTGCTCTCATAGATAGATGAATCTTAACACCAAATATAAAACATAGATCAAGTACTAATCAAAAGACATATTTTGTCACAAGTCCCAACCAAATCATATTCAAACCAGCCACAAAGATGAAGCCCTGCCACCTGGTGGAGAAAAACCGACCATACACCCGAAGCCAAGCCAATAAATACAAACTGGGACTCCCAACCAATCAGAATGAAAAGGTGGAGCCATCCCAGACTACCAGCACCAGATTTGAAATAGTAACGGCAGTTACAGCAAAAGACCCTTCACATAAGCCTGATGATGGCAGATGAGATTCTGTCGAAACGTCACTTCTACCCTTTTAGGGATATATCCACAATTACACGGGAAGAAACCCGAAGTATTAACTATACACACATATATACCCGTGAAAACTTACATAGACAAATATATATATATATATATATGTAGGTCTTTGGTTATTCGGGTCTTCTCCCACGTAAAATTGGAAGTGTCTTGGCGACGTTTCAACGAAGTCTCATTCGTCATCTTCAGGCTGGTGTTCTCGGCTTCGTGCTTCCAGGAGGTAAAGTCCCGGAGAATCCATTCACTTTCTCCAGTTGTTAAATTCCAAAAACAAGATAAAAAAGTTCAAAAGCATATTGTCCTCTAAAAATTTTAGCTTTTGTTGCAGCTTTTTTTCCAAATTTAGCTTAGTTATAAAACAGTATAAGCTTGGTAATAAGCTAATGCAGTTGATAGTGTGTATACTCTGTTCGTTCAGGAACATGATGCGCCATTTAAAAACTCATCATTCCTCAGCTTCAGACCCTTCATCATCATGACTGATCTGGAAATAACGCAGCTCATAGGTCTGCTTTTCGGACGCTACCCCTCCCAACCAGTCACGTTGTAGGTGAATCCTGTTTTTGTCTTCTGAGCTGCTGGGACTTTTGGTTTACTTAGGATGATTTGGAGGGTTTTAGTTGGTTTGGACTTGGGGTTGGTCTTGGTTTGGGTTTTGAGCCAGAGAGGCCTCTCCCACTCCAGGTTTTCCACATTGGAGGCAGCTTTACTTCTTGCCTGCACAATGACGGCAGGATTTCTGGATCACTCCAAGTCCTTTGCACTCCACAGGATGCCTTGTGCTTCAAAGAGAAAAAAAATAGAGGAAGTCAATACCCCCATTTGCATGGTGTGGTGTTTCTTCTCTCCTTCCCTCAGCTCTCTCTTCCCCCCACTCTCTTCACAGCAGTAGTGGGTTGCTACTGGTTCTCCCCGGTTCTTGCGAACCGGTAGTGGAAATTTTGAGTAGTTTGAGAACCGGTAAATACCACCTCTGCCTGGCCCCACCCTCAATCTATTTGCTGCCTCCTGACTCCCAGCTGATCGGCTAGAAGGAAAAAAACAGGGCTCACTTGACAAAGAAGAGGAAAAAAAAAACAAGACACCTTAGCTTTAAATTGAGAAGCCGAAAGCCTTCCAAGTGATCGGTTTGAACCAATCAGCTCCTTGTAAACCGCTCGGTGGTGGTAGACTGGCAATTGAGGCCAAGCTGCCTGAAAGCAGTTTCCGATGGTCTCGGTGGTGGCAGAGTGGCAAAAAACTGCTTAAACTCTTGTCATGGTGCTTCAGAGGGCTGCTCTACAGCTGATCAGCGGTAAAAGGCAGTGTGGTGGTAGACCAGCGCGCTCCAAAAACAAATGGGTAAACCGGTACGGCTCTGCAAGCAGTTAAAAGCCTGGTAGACCAGTACCTCTGCTAAATCCTAAAGAATTGTTTGTCACATGACCATCAAGCCACGCCCACAAAGTAAGCCACACCCACAGAACTAGTAGTAAAAAAATTTACAACCCACCCCTGCTCCACAAGCAGGAGGGGAAGCAGGGGTGAAATGCTCCTGGTTTGGACCGGATTGCCTGATCCGGTAGCGATGGAGGCGGGTGGTTCAGAGAACCGGTAGCAAAAATCCCCCCCCCCATGCCCAGCTGAGCCGCACAATCATCAAGAGGCTTTTTTTTTACTTTTAAAAGCATTTTTTCTACAACTTCAGCGGAAAAAATACTTTTAAAAGTAAAAAAAAAAAGCCTCTGATGATCGCACGGCTCATCAAAGGCATTTAAAAGAAAAAAGGGGTTTTTTTTCTTTTAAACGCTCCGACAATCCCAACTGAGTTGATCGGCAGATTGTCAGAGCATTTAAAAGAAAAAAAAACCCTTTTTTTTCTTTTAAATGCTCTGACGATCCAAGCTGAGTTCCCTGATCGGCAGAGGCTTTTTTAAAATGCCCCTGCCGATCAGGGAACTCAGCTTAGATCGTCAGAGCCTTTTGAAAGCATTTTTTTTACAACCTCTTAGCCGAAGAGGTTGTAGAAAAAATGGTTTTAAAAGTTAAAAAAAAAAATGGCCACGCCCACATCACACACACCCCACACACCAAGCCACGCCCACAGAACTGGTAGTAACAAATTTTAGATTTCACCCCTGAGCTGCTGGTGAGGGCTTCCTCACTTCTCACACAAGGGTTCCTTGTGTCTCCAGTTCATCATGGCCAAGAAGCCTTCCCCCCCCCCCCCCAGATAGGCCCTTTTTTTTCTCTCCCTCCCCGCCAGTCCTTCCTGGACAGAAATGCCCCATTTCCCCAGGGAGCCCCAATTCCTGCTCTTGGCTCCTTCCCTGTCTCCCTCTCTCCTGCCTAGGAGCTGATGGGCCAAAGAGGCTGAACTGAGCTGGATCTTCCACTGCAGAGCAACCTATCAGGGGAGCCACAGGAAGCCCAGGATCCCCACATTATTACCTTGGGAAAATTTAATTCCCCATCCCAAAAACCCGGATGGTCTTGTTCTCTCAAGTTTATTGGAAGCCCAGAGTTTTGTCTCTTAAATAGCAGCAATAATCGGCAACAGTCACCCTCACCTCTGATGTTAATTTAGTGTGCGGCAACAATGTTTTGAATCTCAACTTCTGTACTATACACAGAGCAGGTTGTCACTTTCACGTAGAGATTATTCCTGTGTCTTCTCCACAACCAGCCTGACAGAGGACAAAAAGAGAAGACAGCTAGTTTATTTTGAGGGTAGCAGCTCCTGCCTGAGCTGGAGAAGGATTTATCCTGAACCACTTGCAATTTCGTTGGTACTAACTAGACAGATGATGTTCCCCATATAATCTGGGTTTACTTGCTCTTAATGCAACTGTCACAACTTTTGTGATCCAATCTTAACCTAGCCAGATCTTAGAACCAGCAACAGTGGCTAATCTTGAAAGGTTAAGATGGGACTAGCTGGATCATAGAATCACAAGCCACTCAGAAGGTCCGTCCTGGAAGAAGGAAATGGCAAAGCACTTCCGAATCCTTGCTGAGAAAATTACCAGGAAGTGCTGAGATGCATTTGGTGAAACTCAATTGAGGAGACATGTCCTGCATCCTCCCTCCCTCTCGTGTCTCTTGCTCTGAGTAGGAGCAGAAGCAGCAGCAGCGGCTTCCACCACTGGACCTCCCTCCCTGCTCTTGCCTGTCCCCAGGTGTGATTTACTAGCAGGGGCAGAGGCCATGGGGCCTCTCCCTCCATGGACCTCCCCTTCCACCAGAGCTTTTTGCCAGGTGACATGGCAAATAGATCTTCTTCAGGGAGAGGATTATGGGTTTTCTAGTACTTCCCAGATCATTTAAGAGACTTTTCCTGGACTCCCGAGCTACTGATATTTGCTCCTCTGAAGAAAGTCTACTAAGGCCAAAGAGGTTTTCTCCCACACCACAGGAATGTATTGAGATTTGCAGGAAGTGGGAAAATGGCTGCATAGTTTCTTCTCCTTTTCTGACCCATGTTCAAAACACTATTTCTAGGGAAGGGTCTTGTGGGGGTCCTGTCTGCAGCTCTTAGGGAGGCTCTCTCCCATCCACACCAGCTCAGTCAACACAGAAGGACCCAGGGGTGGGTGTCAGAGGGTGTGTTTGTTGCACTTACCTATCAGGAAGAGAATCCCAGCTCCCAAAACTAAGACAGCCATAATCACCCAAAGAATCCACCACTCTGTAATTAAAGAAGGAGAAACATGGCTCTTATTTGACAGATGCTGAGTTCCCTGAAGTGGAGATGCTGCTTTGGCCACCAGGAAGTGCCCCCACCTGAAGGAAGCCCCTCCCCTCCAAGTCTAAAGAAGGCGGAGCTAATGGCCTTGAAGGGCAGAAGGAGGAGCCACAACCACTCATGTATCATAATCGTATCACATATCATCACGTGTCATTTCTTCATACGTTTGCTGTTACCACTTTCAACTTGTTCTGATAGAAATCACTTCTCTCGTATTACTAAATGTAGGATTATATTTCTTGCTCTCCACCTGAAAATATGAGATGGTCCCTATCAGTGGTGGGTTCTTACTGGTTCGCACCGGTTCGGGAGAACTGGTAGTAAAAATTTGTAGTCACTTGCAGAACCGGTAGTAATGGCTGGCTGGCCACGCCCCCGAACTGGTTGCCCGGCCGCCATGTTCGTCGCCACCATGTTCTTCACGCATGGGCATCCCATTGCCTTGCAAGTCCAATGGGATGCGAAGAACATGACGGCGATGGCAGCAGCTTGCCTTCAGAGAAAGTGGATGGCAAAGAAGCCTTTTTAGAGGCATCTTTGCCAGCCGCTTTCCAGCAACGGCGGCTGGCTGGGGGCCACTGAAAACTAGAGTCAGCTTGCCTTCCTGACTTTGGACCATCCGCTGCATAAGGTAAGCAGCCTAACAAAGAGGCGGTGGTGGGGGAGGAAGGCAGGCAAGCAAGCATGTCAGGGCCGCCCGGCCATAGGAAGGGAGCTAGCAGCCTACTCCCTTCCCTGTAGCCTGGCATGCTTGCCTGCCTTCCACACGGCTTCCCTTTGCCTTCCGAGATTGGGTCACACATGCAGCCCATGACGGGAGACGTGCCGCTTCTGGCCCAGCCAGTGGGTGGGTGGGCGGCTCTTCGGGGAGACGGAGCCATTGCGCTGGGGCTGACAGGGGCAACGGCAGCAGCGGTGCTGCGGGAGGGTGAGCGGATTTCCCAGAGCTGCTGCACATGTGCACTGCATGTGAAGGGACGCAGACACTGCGCCTCTGAGAAAAAGAGGCACTGGTGATTGATTTTAAGAGCACTGAGAGCAAAAGTAGCAGCAGCGGGGGTGACAGGGGCGTGTGTGTGTGTGTGTGTGTGTGTGTGTGTGTGTGTGTGTGTGTGTATGTCACTCTGCAAGGACTTGGAGGTGAACACCACACCTCTGAGGAAAAGAGGCGGCGGAGAAGCCCTGGCTGTTACTCGGGAGGGGACCATGAAGGGACATGTCACACGCCCGTCGCTCTCGCCGCCACTACTTTTGGTCTTGGCTTCTCGGTGCTCTTAAAGTCGATCTTGAAGAGCTGGAAGATGTTTCCTTAGATTGCCACCAACTCATCGTCGGTGAGAATATCCGAGCACATTGTAAGCCGCCCTGAGTCTTCGGAGAAGGGCGGCATATAAATCAAATTAAAAAAAAAAAAAAAAAGTCTTGGGCAAAGTTCTTCCAAAGTTCGGCCAAGTCTTCTCCTCCTTCTCAGCCTTAATGTGTGTGAGCAAAGACGCACACCATGACGTGTGTGCGCCATAAGGTATGTGCGACTGTGCGTGTTTGCTCTGTGATACGAGGCCAAAGAGGAGGAAGAAGACATGGCCGAACTTTGGAAGAACTTTGCCCAAGACTTCTCATATATTATATATCCGCGCAGGAAAACTCCCCGGGAGTTCCTGGATGCCCCACCACTGCCGCTGCCACTGCTGCTGCCTGCCGCAGCAAAAACCACACAGGAAAAATCCCCGGAGTTCTGGAGCATCCCGCCGCCGCCTGAAGCTCCCGTTTTGGGTGCCGTTGCTGGTGTTATCGACACCACCGCCAGGCGCTTTCTCTCATGCCTCCCGAGAAAGAAAGAAAGGAAGGAAGAAAGGAAGAAAGAAAGAAAGAAAGAAAAAAGACAAAGAGGAAGGGAAAGATAAGAAAGAAAGAGAAAGTGAAAGAAAGAAAGAGAAGGAGAGAAAGAAGGAAGGAAGCGAGAGTGAATGAAAAGAAAAAAAGAAAAAAGAGACATAGAAAAAGAGAAAGAAAGAAAGAAAGAAAGAAAGAAAGAAAGAAAGAAAGAAAGAAAGAAAGAAAGAAAAAGAAAGAAAGAAGGAAGGAGGAACGGAGAGAGAGAAAGAAAGAAAAAAGACAAAGAGGAAGGGAAAGATAAGAAAGGAGAAAGTGAAAGAAAGAAAGAGAAGGAGAGAAAGAAGGAAAGGAAGGGAGAGAGAATGAAAAGAAAGAAAGGAAAAAAGAGACATAGAAAAAGAGAAAGAGAAAGAAAGAAAGAAAGAAAGAAAGAAAGAAAGAAAGAAAGAAAGAAAGAAAGAAAGAAAGAAAGAAAGAAAGAGGAAGGTAGAGACAAGAAAGAGAGAAAGAAAGAAAGAGGAAGGAAAGAAGAGGAAGGAAAGAAGAGGAAGGAAGGACCACAAGCCACTAGACGTGGCTTCAGAAGACGCTTTGAAACAGGACAGCAATCTAGGGTTGGAAGGGACCTTAGAGGCCATCTAGTCCAACCCCCTGCTCCAGCAGGAAACCTTACATTGCCTGGGTTATTTTGGTGTCTCTAACAGAGAGGAAAATTGCCAGAAAGGAGAAGGAGTTTACTAGGACAAGGCTGCCGTGCAGAAGAAGGCAGAGATAGTCCTTGACTTATGACCAGAATTGAGCCCAAAATTGTGGCTGCTAAGCAAGAGCGTTGTTAAGTGAGTTTCACTACATTTTACTCAATCCATGATCTCTCCTGGCTCTAACAGTCATGTGCAAGTTAGGGAAGAACATCTGAAGGTGTGTGTAATGTTCTAATGCACAGAAGTTATAGTTACATGTGTGGCAGAAAGTGTGTGTGTGTGTACATACACACACAGTATACAGTAGACAATGTATCTTTTTGTGTGCCTATACACACGCTATACTATGTAATATGTAGGTACACATATGGCATATGTACATAGGATTAAATAATATATTTTGGATGTTTAGTAGTAGTAAATAAATAGACAGGGAAATTGTATCTCGTTGAGGCCTTTGAGGTGAGGAGAGGCCAGGCACCCTAACCATAACCTTTGACATGAGTGACGTCAAGTTGGCCACGCGCACCTGACACCAAGCCACGCCCACCAAACAAGCCACGGCCACTGAACTGGTATTAAAAGAATTTGGAACCCACCACTGGTCCCTATACATATTTCAAACATTGGTGAAAAATGTACTTCAACATGTCACAATCCATCAGCCTCTCACCTGATTCCTCCTTGAAACTCAACACCAGGGGCTCCTGCAGGCCCTCGTGCTCCAGGTGACACTGAAAACGGTCCCTCTCCTTGGGGTCGATCTCAATGCTGAGCCAGATGTAATAGGTCCCATCTGAGTTGGGGACCACGTTCCTATGGAGGGTCTCATACTGGCAGACCTCTCCGTCCCTTGTCCAGGTGGCCCGGATCTCCTTGGGGTAGAAGCCAAAGGCCTGGCAGATGAGGACCTCCAGGCTGTCATTCACCACCTTACAAGTCACCTTCCCCACTGGGGGCTCTGCAGAAACAACAACACAGTTCCCAGGATTTTGAGTGTTTCTGGCAAGATGATTTAATAACAGGAAAGAAGGTACAGTATCTCTGGCTCTTCTGTCACAACTACTGGGGAAGATGGTGTCCTGTATTTCCATCATACCATGGGCACGTCTTCATGCCAGGACCCTGCAATGGTTCCTCATGCCTTACCAGAGGTCAGGCAGGAGCAACTCGTCCCTCAGGGTCCGGATTCCACTGAAGGTACGTCAGTCCTTCCAATGGTGGTTGTCCCAGGCCATTGACAGGGGAAGCCTGCTCAAGGAGCCCGCCCTTCTGTGTTCTGCCCCAGCTACGGACCCCAAAGAACGCAGCACACACAGTCTGTACAAACCTTAGTTTACTAAATTAAATCAGTTTTTTTTTTTCAAACAAAGGCTGTTAATTAACTTTCTTAACAGCTTACAAGAATCCAAAGAATAAATAATCGTAATCTTACTATGGTTGGCAGAAAGCCCAGAAGCAATTTGCAGAGAACTAAGATCAAGGCGCGAAGGAGAGTGAACTAAGTTGTTCCCTGCAAATTGCCTCAGTCGTCGTCCTTCCTTAAGTAGGCTAAGGGAGTGGCCAATTAGTTCCAAGCCTTACTGTGCCAACTGCACAGGCTGCTGGCGAAGCACCACACCAGCCTCCTCGCTGTTGGAATCAGCTACTAGCTGCCCAGGCCACTGATGGGCCACAACAGTCTGACCATCAGAATGGATGCCAGTCTATTCGGTTGGAGAGCCCATCTCCAGTCATTGATAGCTCAGGGCAGGTGGTCTCAACCGGACCTGAGCCATAATATCAATTGGCTGGAGCTCAGGGCAGTGCACCTGGCTCTCAGGCGATTCCAGAGTACTGTTACCAGACAACATACTGTATATTGATTTTGATGGACAACATGGCCACCAAGGCCCACATCAATCACCAAGGGGGTACTCATTCCAGGTCCTTCATGGAAGAGGTCATGCATCTGGGCCTCTGGGTGGAGAGACATCTTCTGTCTCTCCTATGCCCTCATATGGGCAGAACATATATGTCATTAGGCAGATCATATTAGTGGTCCGCGGGATTTAAAATTATGAATTTAGTGGTCCCTGAGGTTCGAAAGGTTGGGGACCCCTGCTCCAGAGGTCCATACTGAAGGGGTGATGGGACCAGGCTGCTTCCCACCCTTAGCACACCCGGCTTTGATAAGTCCCACTCCTGGATTCCCTCTATCCAGTGCCATGGAGAAGAGATGTTGGTCCTACCTGAACATTCTTTCTCATGGCGCTGATAGAGGGAATCCATATTGTACCTTCAGCCTCTCCCACTGTTCCCTCTCCTTGCCTCAACCTGTAGGAGCGCCTAAAATGGGGCATTGGAGCTCTTCAGATTTATTTTTGAAAGGGATACATAGAATTTGGGGTAATGTACTCACATGGGCCAACTTAATCCCCAATTGGGCAGATTGATGCAATTTTAAGCCCCCAAATTGAACTTGTTCAAGTTATTCAGATAAAAATCAGGAACCGACTGATGATTTCCTTCCCACCCAAACACAGGACATCTGTTTCTTCTGCTCTGCAAGACTTTCCCAGGGAAATAGGAGGAGACCTTCAGCATGAATTCCTTTCTTTTTTTTAAGTACTTCCTGGGGGGGGGGGGGGGGGGGGGGCTGAAAATTATTTCCGTCCTGTAATGTGGGATACTTCCTGACCCTTTTCTGTCACTAATTTAAAAGGTGTCTTGGAAGATTAGGATAGAAACAATATGGGGAGGGGGCAGCCTACAGAAACATGCTCAGTGGAGACCCCCTTTTGCCACTCACCGATTCTCTGCAGAGTCTTGTTCTTGTAGGAGAGGTATTTCTGCAGCCCTTCAATGCAGGTCTCCTCCAGGAAGAATTTGCTTCTCTCAGACCATCCTGGATCCTCCTCCCACTTCTCCTTGACCTTCTGGGCCTGGGGCTGAGCTGTCTTCCATCTGAGGGTCTCCTTGTCAAAGCTGATGAAGTCCATCCCGTCATAGCCGTAGTGTAAAAATCCAGCTTTGCTCCCATTTTCCATGAGCTCACAGCCCAAAACCACCTGCCAGGTGTGAAGCCCTGAAAGAGACCCAGAGGGAGTGGGTGCAGTGGTGGAATCCAAATTTTTTTACTACTGGTTCTGTAGGCGTAGCTTGGTGGGCATGGCAGGGGAAGGATAGTGCAAAATCTCCATTCCCACCCCACTCTGGGGCCAGCCAGAGGTGGTATTTGCTGGTTCTCCGAACTGCTCAAAATTTCTGCTACCGGTTCTCCAGAACCTGTGAGAACCTGCTGGATTTCACCCCTGGGTGGGTGTGAAGGAAAAAGGTCCAGGGTTCTCCTCCCTAGACAACATTAGAATCTACCCCCCTTCCCATTTCTCCTCCCCACCTTTGTCACACAAAGAGAAACGTCTTTTACTTCAATTAACCCTGTTTGGCTGGTATCAGGCCCTGTAGAATTTCTAGGTGAGAGAGAAAATCAGGTGTGTGTGTGTGTGTGTGTGTCCTTCCTTTTCAGGAAAGAAAATCTCACCACTATGTCTTCTGCAACCATCAGAGGCCAAGGGTGCCTCTGCTCACCTTCAGCCTGGTGGTCCCGTTTTGATAACTTCGGGTCAGTCCTGAAGACCCACTCAGGAGAAAGAAAGGCTTCCTTCTCCACCTCCTCCATCCAGGGCACCAGAGGCTCCATTTTCCCAGTGAGGCTGTCATAGCGAGCGATGGGCTGGTCATCCAGGTAGCTCCTAATGGAGAACTGAGGAAGCCCCTGGTTGGGCTCTGGCAGTTGCAGGTAGAAGTAGCACAGGGAGTGTGAGGCGGAGTCTGGAGAGGGAGGAGGGAGAAGATTTCTTTGGGGGAGGGATCTGCACTGCAGCTCCATCCCCTCCAACATCTTATTGTCACACAGCAGCCCCCAAAAGAGTGGGTTGCCATCTCTGGGTAAGATGATGCTCCTCCTGCAGCTCCTCTGGGCTTCTCAGCCTGCGACTCCCCACAGCTTGCCCAACAAGGGAAGACTCAGGTAGGCGCTATCTGCATGGAAGTTAACAAAGGAGTTGAAAACCTGAACGCTGTCCAGAGAGGCAACCTTTCCAAATAAAGGCAAAGTTTGCTGATCAGGATGGAGCTGGATGGCAGGATCTGGCCCATTGCCCAGGCAGGAGAAGGAAGCCAGGAACTAAAACTGTGAAAATTCTCTTTTCACTTTTACTCTCTATTCTCACAGAAATGCAAATGGGAGCTGCTTACAAATCAAATAATTCTAAACAATAATAAAAATAAAAACAAATAAAATAAATATTTTAAATAAATTAAAAATAAATAATACTAAACAACTAATCCCCTCAACACTGTCAAACTATTTACTAAGTCTGCACTACTATTAATCTTCTCATCGTTCCCACCACCCATCTCCTCCCACTTATGACTGTATGACTGTAACTTTGTTGCTGGTATCCTTACGATTTATATTGATATTGTTTCCTGATTGCTTATTTGTACCCTATGACTATCATTAAGTGTTGTACCTTATGATTCTTGACGAAGGTATCTTTTCTTTTATGTACACTGAGAGCATATGCACCAAAGACAAATTCCTTGTGTGTCCAATCACACTTGGCCAATAAAGAATTCAAGTCAAGTCAAGTCAAGTCAAGTCAAGTCAAGTCAAGTCAAGTCAAGTGTAGTCTAGTCTAGTCTAGTCTAGTCCCAAAGTTTTAAGACCAGGCTCGCTGAAGCGAGAAGGAAGATTTTTCCATCTGGGAAAGGAGTTTGAGACTGAGGGGGGATGGGGGAAAAGAAAGACCAAACCCAGGACATGCACCCCCCCTCCCTTTCTGTTTCCTCCTCTCCACCCACCCCTGGCAAATCCTTCCAGAAACTCACCGCAATGCCGGTCCGGCAGGAAGGACCCCAGCGCCGCTTCCAAGAACAAAAGGGGTGCCCGGTGCACCAGCATCGCCCTCCAACCAGGCGCCCCCGTGCACCAACAACCGATGACACCTGCCGTTCCCAAAGGACAAGTCGCTTAGGCGCTGCCCCAGTTCGGGCCCCGTCCGGATGCACAAAGAAATCCAACTCTGCTAAAATTCTCCGGCCCGTCCGGGTCCGCCAAGAAGAGAGACAACAGCGCTGCTCCCTTGGGGTCTTCCAGGGTCCCTGGAGGGAGGGAGGGAGGGATCCGAGGGAGACATTGTCCAGAACCAGCGCGCTCAGGGGCAAGTGTTGTGCATGGGCGCCAAACGGGCATTTTATACCTGTAAGTTGAATTAATAATAACTTTGTTCCGCCAATGACAGTGCCGCTCTCCATCCTCGCCCCTTATCCCGCCCCCTCCGAGCTCCGCTGAACTTCTCCACCCGTCTAAAGTCTGCGGGTTCGCCAAGGAAAGAGCGCAAAGTGCGCTGCACGGGAATAGAAATTTGTTTTGCAATAAATAAAAGGTGCAAACTCCGCAGGTGTTTGTTTTCCGCGTTTCTGAGAACAGCAACTGTATGCTAACCAGCCTAACCAGATCCTTGGGAGGGGTGTACCTGTAATGTAATCTGTAATCCAGGGGTGAAATTCAGTAGGTTCTGACGGTTCTAGAGAACCGGTAGCGGAAAATTTTGAGCAGTTCGGAGAACCACCAAATACCACCTCTGGCTGGCCCCAGAGTGGGGTGGGAATGGGGATTTTTGCAATATCCTTTCCCCAGGAGTGGGGTGGGAATGGAGATTTTTGCAGTATCCTTCCCCCGGAGTGGGGTGGGAATGGAGATTTTGCAGTATCCTTCCCCCCAGGAGTGGGGTGGGAATGGAGATTTTTGCAGTATCCTTCCCCCCAGGAGTGGGGTGGGAATGGAGATTTTGCAGTATCCTTCCCCCCAGGAGTGGGGTGGGAATGGAGATTTTGCAGTATCCTTCCCCCCAGGAGTGGGGTGGGAATGGAGATTTTTGCAGTATCCTTCCCCCAGGAGTGGGGTGGGAATGGAGATTTTTGCAGTATCCTTCCCCCCAGGAGTGGGGTGGGAATGGAGATTTTGCAGTATCCTTCCCCCCAGGAGTGGGGTGGGAATGGAGATTTTGCAGTATCCTTCCCCCCAGGAGTGGGGTGGGAATGGAGATTTTTGCAGTATCCTTCCCCCCAGGAGTGGGGTGGGAATGGAGATTTTTGCAGTATCCTTCCCCCCAGGAGTGGGGTGGGGAATGGAGATTTTGCAGTATCCTTCCCCCCAGGAGTGGGGTGGGAGTGGAGATTTTGCAGTATACTTCCCCCAGGAAGGGGGGGTTGGCCGGGGCGAGCCTCTCTCGGTCCCAGGAGAGATTGTGGCTTCAGGGCAATAAAAGAACTCAGCCGAGAGGGGGCAGCATAGGAAAGGAGAGGAGAAAAGGCAAGAACAGAAGCCACTGAAGGGGGAAAAAACCAGATCAGGAGAAGAAAAGATTACAATAATAAGAGGGAAAAAGTGATTATGCTGCAAAGAAACAGGGACTTCTGCTATCTCTGAAGACCCAATGATACTCTTCAGCCCAGATACTCTTCAAGGGCAGCCCCATATAGAGTGCCTTGCAGTAGTCCAACTAGGAAGCAAACAGAGCATGAGTGATTGTGAGCAGAGCCCCTCAGTCTAGGAACGGGTGCAATTAACACACAAGACAAAATTCAATAAAAACTGTTACAGGGGAACACAGACACACACACACAGACACACACACACAGAGGATTCCTTAATACCAGTGGGGTGTTTTGGCCCTCTGAGCTCATGCCCAGAGCCTGGACAGGGGACCCCGGGAGACCACCCAGGCCTTTGGCTGCTGCTGCTGAACACTCGCTTGGTCAACAAGAAGGAATTCGGAAGTCCTAAATCTGAAGTCTTGGCTGGAACGAAGGGAGATCCAACCTGGAATTAAGGAGAAAGGTCTGCAGGGAGAACAATTAATCAGTGGAATGATTACCTCCGGAAACTGGTGGTGCTTCAAGACGGGAGGTTTTTAAGAAGAGTTTGGGCAGCCATTTATCTGGAGTGGTAGGGGGTCTCCTGCTTGAGCCAGGGGTTGGACTAGAACAGTGGTCCCCAACCTTTTTATCGCCGCGGCCCGCTGAGCGCGCGCAGGGGTAGGGGCACGGCCCAGGAGCCTTTGCGCTGCAGCGTTCATGTCCCCCGGCCGCTGCGCGGCCCGGTGCCAGGTACTCCACGGCCCGGCACCGGTGCGCGGACCGGGGGTTGGGGACCACTGGACTAGAAGACCTCCAAGGCTCCGAGGTTTACGGATTAACAGAGTTGGAAGGGACCTTGTAGGTCATCTAGTCCAACCCCCCCACCCCCGCCCAAGCAGGAGACCCTACACCATTTCTGACAAATGGCGGCCCAATCTCTTCTTGAAAGCCTCAAGCGATGAAGCTCCCACAACTTCTGCTTCACTGGTTGAACAGCTTCCTTCCAACTCTCATTCTGAATTCTCTTCTGTTCCATTTTCTCATGTGTCACACACACTTTTGCAGAGCAGGAATCCCTGAGGCTTTCTGGAATGTGAGTGGGTGAAGTGAGTGCCAGACCCAGCCTGCATTGCAAATGAGTCAGATCCGGAAGGCAGAGCACATTTTTTTTTTTTATTTATTTATTTTTAATTTGATTTATATGCCGCCCTTCTCCGAAGACTCAGGGCGGCTTACAGTGCGTTAAGCAATAGCCTTCATACTTTTGTATATTTATACAAAGTCAGCTTATTGCCCCCACAAACTGGGTCCTCATTGACTGGAGGTGGCTGACAGATGTAAAAACCCCAAAGGCAAAACTCAATAAACCCCCCCACCTTCCTGGTGACAAACAACCAAACCAATAGCTCTGCCCACCCCCAGCCCCCAAATCAAAGCAAAACCAGGGCATTTGGAGAGAGTATCAAGGTGGAGGCCAATCTTATCTCCATGGGGATGAGGTTCCCCAGGGAAGGAACCACCAAGGAGAAGGATCTCCTCCTTGGTCCCATTCGATGGACCTCCTTAAGGGAGGGGACCCATAACGTACACTGCCTCCCCACTTTGGTCTCTCTGATCGAGGTCATTGGGAAAGATTGCTAGGCCTCCAGTGTGGCCTTTAACTCCCATTGGGACCCTAAAAGTTCACATTCTAGCTTAGGGAGCTGGAGAAAGAGGTTGTATAAATTGCACGGGGCTCTATCGGACAAATACCTGGGGACCCTAAGGGGCAATAAATAGTTCCACATGGTGAAATAAACTCATTGTGGGGCTAAATCACTCTGGGATGCTAACAATAGCAATAGCACTTAGACTTGTATACTGCTTCACAAAGCTTTACACCAGGGGTGAAATGCTCCTGGTTCGGACCGGATCGCCCAACCGGTAGCGATGGAGGCGGGTGGTTCAGAGATCGGGTAGCAAAAATCCCTGCCCCCCCCCCCATTGCCCAGCTGAGCCACGCAATCATCAGAGGCTTTTTAAAAAAAATTTTAAAAGCATTTTTTTAACAACCTCTTCAGCCGAAGAGGTTGTAGAAAATGGTTTTAAAAGAAAAAAAAAGTTGGCCATACCCACTCAGTTATATTACCCCCACCACCACCAAGCCACGCCCACAGAACTGGTACTAACAAAATTTACATTTCACCACTGCTTTACAACTTCTCTAAGCCAGTTAGGAGCGAAGTGTTGGCAATGGGCAGAGCTAGCTTGCAATGCCGCATTCTAACCACTGAGCAGGGCTAGCTAAATAGACAGACAGACAGATGCAGAGAGAGATAGGTAGATACTGGTTCGCTGGCTGTGCATGCCATGCACTAAGGGTCTTGTGGGGGTCATGGGTGAAACTCTCGGAGAGGCCCTGCCATCCACAGCAACTCAGTCAATGGAGAAAGACACAGGGGTGAGGGGTGTCAGTGGATGTGTTTTCACTTACAACTCAGGAAGAGAATCCCACATGCCAAGATGATGGCAGCCACCATCACCACAGGAATCCACCAAACTGTAGCTAAAGAAAGGAAGCATATCATTAGACAGATCCTGGGTTCCCGAAGTGGAGATGCTGAGCAATGGGAGCATTGGCCTCCAGGAAGTGCCCCCATGTTATGACCCAGCTGGTGAACCTGATCCCTCATTTCTCTGAAACAGACAGAAGGACCTTCTGTTATGACCCAGGTTGTCAAGGGAGGCAAGTAGAGAGTCCTTTAGTAAATGTTCTACGAAACAACCCTCCAACCACTGGTAAGGCCCCACCCCAGGCTACCCTGAAAGCAGCCACCCTCAGTCCCCCAGACAACAGCCCATATAGAACAAAGAACATCCACAGAGTCGGAGCAGCTCGCAAGGCAAGATCCAGAGTCCCAAGTCCAGCCCACCTGACTAAGAAAGTCCACGAGGCAAACTCTAGTCCACAAGGCAAGGACAAGGCACAAGACAAAAGGCAGCTCTCAGGGCAAAGACAAAGCACAAGGCAGGAGGCCGTTCTCCAGGCCAAGCAAGGCAAGGCAAGGTGACCCCAGACCACCCCAACGATGCCCTTGAAGTGATGTCCCGGTGCCTGGAGGCCGTGCGGATCTGGATGGGGAAGAACAGGCTCAGGCTCAACCCATCCAAGACCGAGTGGCTGTGGTTTCCGACGTCCCGATATAGTCAGTTGGTGCCATCACTGACTATTGGGGGCGAATCATTGGCCCCCACGGAGAGGGCACGCAACTTGGGCGTCCTCCTGGAATCACGGCTGTCTTTAGAAGACCACTTGACAGCCGTGACCGGGAGGATTTTTCATCAGGTTCGCCTGATTCGCCAGTTGTGTCCCTTTCTGGATCGGGACTCGTTACGCACGGTCACTCTTGCCCTCGTCACCTCCCGCCTGGACTATTGCAACGCTCTCTACATGGGGCTCCCCTTGAGGAGCACCCAGAGGCTCCAACTGGCACAGAGTGCGGCCGTGCGGGTGGTAATGGGAGCGACATGGCGCTCCCACGTAACACCTCTCCTGCGCGAGCTGCACTGGCTCCCGGTGGTCTTCCGGGTGCACTTCAAGGTTTTGGTTACCCCCTTTAAAGCGCTTCATGGCTTAGGACCTGGTTATCTATGGAACCGCCTACTACCACCAATAGCCTCCCACTGGCCAGTACGCTCTCATAGAGAGGGACTCCTCCGGGTGCCGTCAGCCAAACAATGTCGGCTGTTGGCCCCCAGGGGGAGAGCCTTCTCTGTGGGGGCACCCACTATCTGGAACGAGCTCCCCCCAGAGATACGGAGGATCCCGGATCTGCGCACCTTCCGCCGCGCTTTAAAGACTTTACTATTTCACCAGGCGGGCCTGGCCTAATTTTCTCCCTCTTTTATAAAAGATTTTTAATTTTTAAATATCTTTTAGTATTTTATACATTCAATTTTAAATTGGTTTTAAAAAGTTTGGGGTTTTAAATTTGTCGGGGCCAAAATTATTTAATTTGATTTTATTCTACTTTTAAATTTTGTATGTATGTGTTTTATTGTTTGGCTGTGCACCGCCCTGAGTCCTTCGGGAGTAGGGCGGTATAGAAATCAAATCAAATCAAATAAATAAAAAATAAAGGTGAAAAGCAGTCCTGAAGGCAAGGCAAAAGGCACGAGTCAAAGTGGGGGGGGGGATTGTAAACCCAAACAATTAATTGTTCCTGGCAAAGGCTAACTCCCCATGGCTTCTCCTTAAGTCAATCCTCTCCAGCTGTTCCTTGTGAGGAGGGGTGTGGCAACCTTCTCTAGAGTAGCCTGGGTTGCCTACACTCCTCTCTCCATGCCCTTGGATCAAGTGGGGGAGGCAGCTGTTCTCATCAGAGGGGATCTGCCCCCTATCAGCACCAGAGTCTGCCAGCACCTGATCCTCCCCTGTGTCTGTGAAGGCAGGCAGCTCTTCGTCTGGTCAACCACCTCTCCCAAAGCCTGAGGGGCCTGGGACAGCATCGCCCTCAGCCCCTGGCCTCTCCCAAACAGAGAGATGCACCATGGAAGTTTCAACTCCTTCTCCTAACAGGACTCTGATGGGGTCATGACACCCTACTTGAAGGAAGCCCCTCCCCTCCAAAGCTGTAGAGGGTGGAGCTAATGGCCTTGAACTGCAGAAGGAAGAGCCACAACCAATCAAATCTTCTATCACATCATCTCAGATAACATCATATGCCTTATCTTCATACCTTTGCTATTAAACGACCATTTCCAACTCTTCTGTCAGAAATCATGTTTTCCCCATTGCTAAATGCAGGACGGCATTTCCTGCTCTCTCCCTGAAAATAAGAAATGATGCAGCAGAAAACTCCCCCCTCCCTATTTTCAATTATGGAAAGTTCACTCCTACACAAGTTTTCCTTCTACACATCACAACCCATCAGCCTCTCACCTGTTTCCTCCTTCTAGGCCAAGACCAGGGGCTCCTGCAAGCCCTCGTGCTCCAGGTGACACTGAAAACGGTGCCTCTGCTTGGGGTCGATCTCAATGCTGAGCTGGACATAATAGGTCCCGTCTGAGTTGGGGGCCACATTCCTATGGAGGGTCTCATACTGGCTGGCCTCTCCATCTCTGGTCCAGGTGGCCTGGATCTCCTTGGAGTAGAAGCCAAAGGCCTGGCAGGTGAGGACCTCCAAGCTTTCATCCACCACTTTACGAGTCAACATCCCCACTGGGGGCTCTGCAGAAACAACAAAAAGGGGATTTGCAGGATTTTGAGAGTTTCTGTCAAGATTATTTAATAACAGGAAAGACCTTTGGCCATTTTCTCCTTCTCCTCGTCTGAACCCCTAGGAGCCTCCAAGATGGAACATTGAGGCTCTTTGGGTCTATTTTTGAAAGGGGGTACATAGGATTTGGTGTAAAGCTCTGCAATTGACCAACATAAATCTCAATTTGGGGATTGATTCAAATTGAATTTGATCAAATTGTTTCAGCTAAAAATTAGGGACAGACTTGTCTTTTTATTCTGAGCCAAACATTCATTTCTTCTGCTTTAAAAGTTTTTCCTCAGGGAAATAGAACAAGATCTTCAGCATTAATTTCTTGCTCACTTTCTTTTTCTTTGAAGTATTTATTTTGTAGAAGATTATTTTCCTTCTGTAATGTGATGTGGGATACTTCCTGACCCATTTCTGCAACAGGTGACATGGCTATGGAGGACAGAAATAATATGAGGAGGGGGAAGCCTACAGAAACATGCTCAATGGAGAGCCCCTTTTGTTACTCACCTGTCCTCTGGAGAGCTTCCTTCTAGTAGGACAGGTATCTCTGCAGCCACTCAATGCAGGCCTTCTCCAGGAAGGATTTCACTTTCTCTGACCACTCTGGATCTTTCTCCCACTCCTCTTTGACCTTCTGGGCCTGGGTCTGAGCTGTCTTCCATCCGAGGGTCTCCTTGTCGAAGCCGATGAAGTCCATCCCATCGTAGCCATAGTGCAAAAACCCTCCTTTGCTCCCGCCTTCCCAGAGCTGACAGGCCAAAATTGCCTGCCAGGTGTGAAGCCCTGAAAGAGACCCAGAGGGGATGGGTGAGAAGGGCTCAGTCAGGATTCCTCTCCAAGGCACAAATATAGTTACCTCCCATCCCTCCTAGGAAGAAAAACTCAGTTTCTCCTTTGCCTCTTTAGCACACAAGGAGAAATAACTTCAGTTAGCCCTCATTGGCTGGTGTCAGGCCATGAAGAAATTCTAGGTGTGGGAGAAAATCACCAGTGGGGATGGGGTGTCTTTCTTTTTCAGGAAAGAAAAAAATCACTATTATGCCCCCTGCAGGCACTGGGGGGGGGGCAAAGCTGGCACTGCCTCCGCTCACCTCCAGCAAGCTGGTCCAGTTTTGATAACTTCTCCAGGCCAGCCCTGAAGACCCTCTCGGGAGCCAGAAATCTCTCCTTCTCCACCTCCTCCATCCAGGGCACCAGAGGCTCCATCTTCCTGGTGAGGCTGTCAAAGCGAGTGATGGGCTGGTCATCCAGGTAGCCTCTAATGAAGAACTGGGACAATCCCTGGTTGGGCTCTGAGGGTTGCAGGTAGAAGTAGCACAGGGAGTGTGAGAGGGAGCCTGGAGAGAGAGAAGAGGGAGAAGGGCAGAATGAGGGGATCAGCCCTGCAGCTCCATCCCGTCATTTTATTGTCATCCAGCTGTCCTAAGAATTGAGCTGCTCTCTTTCTGCTCTGCTTGGGAAGGTTCCTTCCTTTAAACCTAAGCACCCCTTGGTTGACCTTAGAAACATCTGGGCAGCAGACCCACATCTGGTTAAGGTGCCCCCCCCAGCTCCTCTGGACCATCGGGATTCCTAGCCAGCTGCTTGTGTGCCTGAGTCCGATCACAACCCTCCTTGCAAATTGGCACAGGATTTAGAACTTACTTGTTACTCTGTCTGGCTGTTCTCCAGTGAAGCAATCCTGCCAATGTTTTGTGATTTTGTGAAGACTTTTGTGGCCCTTTGTCAGTTCCGGACAGGGAAGAGATGAGCAAAAAGGAATTGAGCTCCGAAGGTTCCCCTCTGATGGAAAAATTACAAAATAATGAAATAATTTTGAGCCTGAGTGGCGTAGGAGGCTAATGCCTCCTACTAAGGCAGCATTTAACATCCAGCTGCCTGCAATTACTGCAGGTTCGAATCTCCCCAGGCTCAAGGTTGACTCAGCCTTCCATCCTTTCTAAGGTAGGTAAATTGAGGACCCAGATTGTGGGGCCAATAAGCTGACTTTGTATAAAAATATACAAAAGCATGAAGGCTTATTGCTTAACGCACTGTAAGCCGCCCTGAGTCTCCGGAGAAGGGCGGCATATAAAAAGAAATAAATAAAATAATAATAATAATAATAAATAAATAAAATAAGGCTGCAAACTCTTCTACAAACAGCCCCTCCTTTTCTTTGCCCCACCTGTCTACCCCCCCTCCTCTCTGCTGCAACTTTTTTTTTTTTTTCTAAGGTGGGTAAAATGAGGACCCGGTTTGTGGGGGACAATAAGCTGACTTTGTATAAAAATATACAAAAGAATGAAGGCTTATTGCTTAACGCATTGTAAGCCGCCCCGAGTCTCCGGAGAAGGGCGGCATATAAAAATAAATAAATAAAAAATAAATAAAATAAGGCTGCAAACTCTTCTACAAACAGCCCCTCCCGTTCTTTGCCCCACCTGTCTACCCCCCATTCCCCATCTCCTCTGCTGCAACTTTTCCCACTGCAGCCACTTTTCCCCCATCCCCCCCCCCCCCCCCCCCCACCCCACCCGCCTATGGAAATTAGACCAACCCCAGGATAACCCATAACTCGAACCTGGCTGCCCAAAGAGCCCTTCGCTCCTCCCTATTTCGCTATTCGCTAAATAGAAATGGGAATGGATTATAAAAGGGAAACGCCAGAAGTTCCTAAACGAGGGTCGGCGAAGCATCGAAGTCCAGCCGAGAGCATCTCAGCCCCTTTTATTCGACTCCTCCTGCTTTTTGATAGGCTCAGCCTAGGAAAGCCCCGCCCCCTTTTTGCTCAGATAGGTTCTGTAACCGTCTAACGAAGCCTGACCTCGCTCCTTGGCTTTCTTTGGGCGTGCCCCCAGCACCCATAATGCAATGGGCAACACCTCCCCCCCATTTCCGCATGCGCACATGACTCCTAACGCGCATGCACCTCCCACTGCACATGCGCACACGCAACCCCCCCACACTGCGCATGTGTGCGCCCACCACGCATGCGCCCCCACTTCTTTTCCCATGAGGGCCGCCGCAGGACGACCAGTTACCCTGGCGAGACAGCTGTTCCCAATTCGCCAGCGCCCCATTCACCCATCCCAGCAGAGGCCTTTTGCCCGTGCTGCTCCCCCCCCCCGTCAGAAGGGGGTGCGGGGAAAGACGCGAGGAGGCCGCGGTTGCTGCCAGCCGGGCCCGCCCGCCTTCTCCGGTTGGCGGGCAGCTGAGGCTTGCAATGAATGGCTCCGCCCCCCCCCCCCCCCCCCCCGGGGCTGTAAATGCGCCTTGCAGGAGCGGAGGCTCGGGAGAGTCGAACCCTCCTGCCTACCTTTTACGACGGGCCTTTCCAAGGCAGGGCTGGGCTCTCCGGCCTTGGCAGCTCTGGGAGTTCTCAAAGTCCCACAAATCTTAAGGTTGCCACGGTTGGAGAGCCCCGTTCCAAAGGGCGACTAAAGGAGCTGGAGTTGTGGCTGTGCCGGCCGTCCCGTCCCGTCCCCCCACCCCATTTTTTTATTTTATTTTATTTTATTTTATTTTTTTATTTTATTATTATTTTATTTATTTTATTTTATTTTATTTTATTTTTTATTTTATTATTTTATTTTATTTATTTATTTATTATTTTATTTTATTTTATTATTTTATTTTTTTTATTTTATTTTATTTTATTTTATTATTTTATTTTATTATTTTATTTTATTTATTTTATTTTATTATTTTATTTTATTATTTTATTTTATTTATTTTATTTTATTTTATTTTATTTTATTTCTATACCGCCTTTCTCCGGTAGGACCCAAGGCGGTGTAGAACCAAGAAAAATATAGACATACAATCATAAAATTGCTAATTAAAATTATTACTTTAATTTGGCTCCCTTCCCCCCCCCCCCCGCTGCCCCCTCCCGCCATCGGGCTCGGCACCTGCAAGTGGGAATCATCCGCGCTTCCCAGCGGATCCCGGGTTTCCTCCGCGCTTTCCATGGAAGAAAGGATTTTCAGGTGGCAGCGCGGGCAGCTTGCATAAACCGCTCCTGCCCCTTTCAAAATAGCCACCAGACGCTTCCCTCAGAGCCGGCAAGCGGCCCTTCTTCTGAGAAGGGGGGGGGGGGTGAGAGGGTTTGCTCCTTGTTCTTTGGCTTCCTCAATTCTTTCCGAGGCTTTTCCTGCGGCAGAGGGGAGGAGCCCAAGCAAGGGTTCAGGGTTGCAGGAGGAGGAGGAGCCAAGCCCGTCTTTGCCGGCATGCCTGCCTCTCCTCCCCCCCCCTCCCCCACTTCTCAGAGATCAGGGAGAGATCTTGTCAGGGCATTTATTAATCCCATGTTTGGCTCTGGGACTAATCACCCTGGTTTAATTAGAGGAGATGAATCGTGGCTCCTCCTTGTTTGCAATATTCTGAAAAAAGAAACCGAAGAAAAGTTTCTAATAAAACTCATTTATTTGTTATTGTCAGGGCATTTATTAATCCCATGTTTGGCTCTGGGACTAATCACCCTGGTTTAATTAGAGGAGGATGAATCGTGGCTCCTCCTTGTTTGCAATATTCTGAAAAAAGAAACACGAAGAAAAGTTTCTAATAAAACTCATTTATTTGTTATAAAGAAAATAAAACACCTCACTAACTAAGAAAGATAAATGGTTACATTTTGGCAAGCGAGATCTCCTGCCGGTCCAGCCGGACCTCTGGCAAGAGAACAAAGGAAAGAATGTGTGAAGGAATGTGGGTGGATGCGGAAACACGTAGCTTACTGATAAGAAGTTGGCAAGCTACGGAGAGTCTGACAGTCCAGAAATGATGAGTTCAGCTGGCAAATAAAATAACGCAGTGACAGATCTGACTAAAGAGCTGTGCTTTAGCTGTGCTAAAGAGCTGCCTCCTGCCTTCCACGATCTCCAAAGTTCCTCCCCCATCGAATCCTACTTTTCTCCTGCCTTCCACAATCTCCAAAGTTCCTCCCCCGTTGAGTGCCTCCTGCCTTCCAGTACTCCTCAGATCTTTGCAGTTTCTCCCCCCATCGCGTGTCTCCCCCCATCGCGTGTTAGCTTTCTCCTGCTTTCCTGCAGAGGCATCTGCAGAGGGTAGAACCTGCAGAGATCGGGGAACGCTCTGCGGCAGAGAACGGAAGACCAGCTGGCTGATGGGAGGTACACGCATGTGCGGTGTACCTGGGCTGGGGCAACGGCTGGCGTGCCGGCAGAAAGGGCTCTGCGTGCCACCTGTGGCACGCGTGCCATAGGTTCGCCATCACGGCCTTATACCATTTCTGACAAATGGCAGTCCAATCTCTTCTTGAAAGCCTCAAGCGATGAAGCTCCCACAACTTCTGTTTCACTGGTTGAACAGCTTCCTTCCAACTCTCATTCTGAATTCTCTTCTGTTCCATTTTCTCATGTGTCACACACACTTTTGCAGAGCAGGAATCCCTGAGGCTTTTTGGAATGTGAGTGTGTGAAGTGAGTGCCAGATCCAGCCTGCATTGCAAATGAGTCAGATCCGGAAGGCAGAGCACATTGACTGGAGGTGACTGACAGATGTAAAAACCCCAAAGGCAAAACTCAATAAACCCCCCCACCCTCCTAGTGACAAACAACCAAACCAATACTTGTACCTTATGATTCTTGATGAAGGTATCTTTTCTTTTATGTATACTGAGAGCATATGCACCAAGACAAATTCCTTGTGTGTCCAGTCACACTTGGCCAATAAAAAATTCTATTCTATTCTATTCTAAAAAGAAAAGAGCAGAGATCACATTGATTGTCTCCCTGCACTTTAATACTGACCGGTGTATTTCAACAAGAATAGCTTCTCCCGCCCCCCCACCGCCCCCCCAACCCCCCACTCTTGCAAAACAGCTCCACCATTTTATGAACTTCTTACAGCTCTATTTATTACCCAACCCAAAGGTTATCCTGTCAAAAAGTGATCGATCTGCTTGTTCAGAGGAAAGACTCTTTTTAAGGGGACGGGAGGGACGAGATCCCGTCCCCCTCACTCTTGCCGGGCGCGGCCAAAGCCGAAGAGGGACCCGAACTCCCCGCAGGCTCCCTGGCCTCCCTCGCTCGCTCCTCCGTCTCTGCTTGGAATCTCCCCGCAACACCAACGCCCAGCCCGGCGCTTCTTCCCTCCTTGTCCGGGACGGCGATTTCGCGATCCCCCTGCAGCCTCCGCCACAGGGGAAGAACCGGGAGCCGTGTGTGTGTGTGTGTGTGTGTGTGTGTAGTGTGCTCACAGTAAAAAGTGACAATAAAGGTTATCTTATCTTCATGCTGGTCTAGAGAAAAGAAGGACTAGGGATGACACGATGGCATTCCAGTATTTGAGGGGCTGCCACAAAGAGGAGGGGGGTCAACTTATTTCCCAAAGCACCAGAGGGCAAGACAAGAAGCAATGGATGGAAACTAATCAAGGAGAGAAGCAACCTGGAATTGAGGAGAAACTTCCTAACAGTGAGGACAATGAACCAGTGGAACAGAAGTTGCCTTCAGAAATGATGTGGGTGCTCCATCACTGGAGGTTTTTAAGAAGAGACTGGACAGCCACTTGTCTGAAATGGTATAGGGTCTCTCGTTTTAGTAGGGGGTTGGACTAGATGATCTCCAAGGTCCCTTCCAGCTGTATTCTGATTCCTCTCCGAGAGGGATAAACGAGACTCAGCCGCCCTTGCTGAACAGAAATCAGCTTTCTCTACTTCCCGGGAGGGATCGCTAACGCTTCCCCCAGGATATGACTGAGCCCCCCGCCCACAAGACCTCCCCAGGGGTTGAAGGGGAAAGCAGGAGAAAGGGCGGAGGGGGGGGGTCAGTCCTTGGGGGTCAGCACTTTCAGAGGGGATCTCAAATCTTTTGTGGGCAGGTGCTTCTAAGCAAGGCAGAGGATGGCGTCCCCTAGAGGTAAACAGAGGGTGCCATAATTTATTCATTTATTTTCTTCACTTCCGCTGCTTGGAATAACCATCTTGGGAGAGCGTCCGAAGGGTTGGGCTCCTCAGCGGAATAGTTTTCCCGCCAGAGCGAATGAGAGGAAAGGCGGGAACAGCAGCTCAGCCTCCCCCCGGAGAAGGGACCTCGCAAATCACTCTCTTCTCCATCTGGAGTCTTGTCTTCTTTGGAGTTCATTTCTTGCCAGTGCAAATGTTGATACAGGGGTTTTGGGGGTTACTATGCCCCTCCTCCCCTTTCCACGGGATGCCTTGTGTTGCAAAGGGAGACAATGGAGGAAGAGGACACACAAACCCTTTGTACGGGGATGAGGGCCTTCTCCCCACTCCTTGGCTCTGCCTTTCCCCCACTGCCACCCAGACAGGCATGAAGGATGAACCAGAGAGGAGAAAGGTTTGCGGTTCCCCTTCACACAGACAGCTCTTCCCTGCAGGAAAGTCAGGCACAAGTAACCAGGAACAGGAGTTGAATGCAAAGCACTAAAGGTTTATTACATGTTACCTATGTGCCAGGATCTGATCTAAGAACAGTCCAAGCTAAATCGGCGCTTGATAAGGGTCAGTGGAATTCATTGGGTTGTCTGGCTGGATTCCGAACGGATGACACGTGTCTGTGGAGATTCTCTTTTATGAAAAATAATTTTTATTAAAACAGTTTGTCTTTAAAAACAACACAAAAAACAATCACACGCATATAAAAACAAAACATGTCAAGACATAACATACTAAACGTTACATAACATTAATGGTAATTTTACAGCATTTCACCTACACTTACAAATTTTGCTTTTGTAGTCCTCTAGTCTCTCATTTCTATTTACTACTCAATAGTAGGAGAATCGCATTACTCCTGTGGAGATTCTCCATCATGCAAGTCCTGGCTGTCCCAATGGGGCTGTTCAAAAGGCAACGGGACTTCCTTGGGTTTTTTCCTTCAAAACGTTTCGCTTTTCATCCAAGGACTGAAGAAGCTTCTTGCATGAAAAGCAAAACATTTTCAAGGACTTCCTGTTGTCTTTTGAACAGCACCATTGGGACAAACCGACAAGTTCAATCCCACCTTCCAGCTCAGCCTGTTGGTCTCCTACAAAGAGTTTGGGCCAAGATGGTCCTCTCAATGGACCCCTCCAGGGCTCCTAACCCTTGGAAGAACCACCTGCCCAATTTGTTGCCCCCTCCCACTGCCGCCAACTTCCACGAAGTTGTTAAAGGCAGCCATTCTCAGAAGCTCTGGAGACGAACACCTGGGCTGTGGCTCCATCCGTTGTTCGTTCTTTGTTCTTCAGGAGTCTCTCTTGGTGGTTTCAGGCTCCGAGGTCGGTGCAGCACCCACAGATGCGAAATTCTGTTGATGTGTTAAGTTGTGGGAAAAGAAGTAGGGTGATACCAGACAGTGCATGAAGCAAAGGACTTGAGGATGGCCCCCCCCTCTTCCGGTCATTCCTGGGAAAATTCCTGCTCCTGGGCTGCTCATCCAGGAGAACCTTGGTGAGCAATGGGGCAGCCCTGGGGGCTTTCATGCTGGAGGGCTGTAGCGGTGAGTTTGTGGAAGGATTTAGAATTGGGGGGGGGGAAGGAAGCAGAAAGGGAGGGAGAAGACGTCCCCTCCCTCCCCAGCTCCGTTCCCAGAAGGAAACCTCTTCCTTCCCTCAGGCTTCTCTGTAGAGAGTTTCCTGTTGAGCAGGAGGTTGGACTAGAAGCCCTCCAAACTCTTCTCCTGTTCTGTGGGGGGGGGGGCTGTGGGGTCTGGCAGAAAGGCCTGCACAGCCAGGTGCTGGGAAGGGCGGCTGTGTCCCCCCCCCCCAGGAGTCCCCACCTGCCCTCCTTGACCCCAGGGCCAGAACAGCCAAGGCGGCATCAAAGTGGGCAGAGGTTGGTGCCTTCATTTATTTATTATTATTTATTTCTTTTGTCGCATTTCTATGCCACCCAACTCCCAAGGGATGCCTGGGCGGTTCATGAACCTGCCCTGGCGGTTTTCAGGCCCAGGTGCCAGTTCCTCAGGTGCCACCAGGAGCCCAGACAGTCTGGGGAGCCCAGGCTGAAGCCCACCTTCAGCCCAGGAATCACAGTCCTCAACTCGCCCTACTTCACAGGATTGTTGGGGAGGAAAATCAGAAGGAATCCTTTTTGCAATCTAGAGCCCCTGGAGGAGTGGGGGCGTTGCGGGGAGGGGGGGGTGGCTGGGGTGTGTGTGAAATAGAGCATTTGGAGAGGGGAGGGGGGCAGACCCCTAAGAAAAGGCTGTTGCTTTCTTGGATGCCCCACTCAGAGCATGGAGCTTTGGGGGAAAGTCTGGGACTTAAAGGGCTTGGGAAGGGAATCCCCCCTCCCTGGCTCAGAACCAGAACTGGAGGATTCCCAGGGCTTTCTCCCTGGGGCTAGTTGGTTCCTGCCTAAGGGTTCCTCTCTTCCACACTTGCTAGTTTGCACGGCTGCCCTTTCACCAGCGTGTTTCCAAGAGGGAGGGGGAGAACAGGTCTTTCTGTGTACCTGGGAGTCTCGTCCTGCCTGGGGAATTCTGGGAGTTGAAGTCCACGTGGCTTAAAAATGCCAAAGTTGAGAAGCAACAGCCCTAGACAGTCTCCAGGGGCAGCCCCAGGCACAAGTAGCAGTTTAAGCTTTGAGGGGGTTCTCAAACCCAAATCCTGCTTTCCAATTCCTCTTTTTCCAAGTCTCACTCCTGAATGATGAACCAGAATCCAGGATGACCCAAATCAATACATACGTAGTCAAAGGAAAGAAACAAATATATTTCATTTTAGCATTAAATATTTACAATTCTATATATAGTTATCTAGTGAAATTAGGGTTGCCAGGTCTGCTTCCAAAAAATAGCGGACAAGCAGGGGGGGGGGGGGGGTTTAAGTAGTAAAAAAATAAAATAAAAATTTACAATTAAATTATATATTTTCTTACAAACGTTTTAACATGCCATTTTAGGTCAGTCGACACAAGCTACAATACATTTTAAAAATGTGAACTGTACATAATTTTATAATATATTTTTATTTTAATCTCATCATTAATTTTTTCGGAGAATCGAGTTCAATGGATATTCGATCTCTGTCTCATTCTAACTTATAAAAAAAAAGACAAAACGCGATTCTCCTATCCTTATTCTCTTAGACTGTACAACTTTAGATTACGTACCATTTCATCATAAAGCTTTTGAATAAAAAAAAATGTCCACTATTTTGTGGGGAAAAAAATAGTGAACATAATGTGAAAAAAGTGGACTGTCCGCTCAAATAGTGGACATCTGGCAACCCTATTCTATACAGCCGTGATGGCGAACCTATGGCACGTGTGCCACAGATGGCACGCGTAGCCATATCAGTGGGCACGCCAACTCAGCTCTGGGGCGCATGTATGCGCTGGCCAGCTGATGTTTCCTGCCTCCGGAGGGCCTGTGGGGTGGATTGTGGGGAAGGCCCATTTTTCTTTCTTACCTGGCTCCAGATCCTCTCTATGCATCTGTGGAGGGCGAAAACAGCCTTTCCCACTCCCTCGGAGGCCCTCTGGAGACCTGAAAAGACCCATTTCCCAACTCCCAGTGGGACAGGAAGTGACGTTTTTTGCTGTCCCCAGCCTCCAGAGACTCCTAAGAGAGGCTAAGAGGGACAGCAAAAAAGTCACTTCCTATCCCACTGGGAGTTGGGAAATGGGTCCTTTCAGGCCTCCAGAGGGCCTCCGAGGGAGTGGGAAAGGTTGTTTTCGCCCTTCCCAGATGCATAGAGGATCTGGAGCCAGGTAAGAAAGAAAAATGGGCCTACCAGGTGTGCCAGGAGCGGGGGGGAGGGGGGTTGAACGCGCATGCGCAGGGAGGGCGCATAGAATTATGAGTGTGGGCACGCACACGCGTGAACCTTCCCCACCTACCCCTCTCCTGGCACGCGATGGCAAAAAAGTTAGCCATCACTGCTATACAGTATGTTTCCAGTACACCTATACAAAGAGATTGTATTGGCAACGTGGGACAAGATTTACAAAGCTCTTCAGGACAATATAACAGAATCGCAGAGCGGGAAGGGACCTTGGAGGTCTTCTAGCCCAACCCCCTGCTCAAGCAGGAGACTCTATACCATTTCAGACAAATGTCTTCTTAAAAATCTCTTCTTGAAAATCGATGTGCACAATGATTTCTCATATCCCCGCAGTAAGCATTCACAAGACCCTGAGGCCCCCATCTCCATCCCTGCATCTCCCTAAGCAAAACTCCAATGCCTCCTTGACTCCATTCCTTTGTAAGGAGACTTTCCCCGGGGTTGGGAGTGACAAAGCTGGAGAGCGCCATCATTCATGTCTCTGCTCAAGTGGGACTAGCTGTGATCTCCCCAACCAGAGATATAAGACTCCTGCAGGGAGGAACAGATCTGGGGCCAAAGTCAAGGAAAATCACGTGGCATTGGATCTGCTCCTTGCCTCACACGGAGGGGATTGCCAGATGCTTAACACCTCCTGCAGCCGGGTCCTTGGTGCTCTCTGAGAGACATTTCATTACCAAACTAGGTAACATCATCAGTGCTAGAAGGGAGCAGGATTTGGTCTTATTTTTATGTACTTGTGGTTTTCCCTGTCAATGTTGGTGGGAATGTTCTTGGAGATTCCATGATTAAGCTGTTGTTTACTGTTAGCTTCTTTGTCTGATTTGGGGTAACTGCTCGATTGGGATGTTGTTTACTTGATTGTTGGTCTTGTGTTGATCTTGATGTTAATTTCTGCTCATATAGGTGTTGATTGCTGGTGTTTTAGTATTTTTCCTTTTGGGGTTTTGGATTGTTAGATGTTGTTTATCTCCATGTGCCTGTTGATGGCCAATTAATTGTCTACAGTAAGTGCCAGGCCTCCAGGAATTCTCTGCCATTTTTTCTGAATTTGGCTTGATTGAGGAAGCTCACAGTTTCCCAGTTGAAACTATGGTGGAGTCTATCCACAAATTGTGAACTGAAGGAGTTTTCATCATGTCTCCCAACTGCTAGCTGGTGTTAGATGCGCTTTGCTGGTCTTACAGTGTGTGCTATAGATAACTATCGGTTGTTTCTTTTGGGGTTACTGAGTTTTTTGGTTTTGGAGGGCTTTAGATGGCCTGGAATCCAGAGTTAAGGTTGCTGTTGCTTTGGGCGTGGCCTGGAGAGGTCTCTCCCATTCCACATTTTAGATTTTTGAAGCTGTTTTCCTTCTTGCTTGTGCAATGACAACACAGTGATTCCTGGATCAGTCCACGTTTTTTGCAGTCCATGAGATGCCTTGTACTTCAAAAAGGAAAAAAAACCAGAGGAAGTCAAAAAAACCTGTTTGCATTGGGGTGGGGGGGTGTTTCTTCTTCCCTTAACTTTCTCTTCCCCCCCCCCCCCAAGGCAACCTCCACAGGCATCACTGGAAGCAGCCAAAGAGGAAGGAAGGATTGCAACCAGTGGTGAAATCCAAATTTTTTACTACCAGTTCTGTGGGCGTGGTGTGGCTTGGTGGGTGTGGCAGGGGAAGGATACTGCAAAATCCCCATTCTCACCCCATTCCTGGGGAAAGGATACTGCAAAATCTCCATTCCCACCCCCCTCTGTGGCTAGCCAGAGGTGGTATTTGCCGGTTCTCCGAACTACTCAAAGTTTCCGCTACCAGTTCTCCAGAACCTGTGGGAACCTGCTGGATTTCACCCCGATTTGCAACCCTCATATACACAAAGAGCTGCTGTTGGGGGCTTCCTCACTTCTCCCCCCAGGGTTCCTTATGCCTCCAGTTCATCATGGCCAAGGAGCTTTTTTGTTTTCCTGTAAGGCTTCAGGCTGCCCTTTTCCTTCTCCCCCTCCCCTCCAGTCTTTCCTAGACAGAAATGCCCCATTTCCCCGGGGTGCCCCCAATTCCTGCTCTTGCCTCCTTCTCTCTCTCTCTCTCTCTCCCTCTCCCTCTCTCTCTCTCTCCCGCTCTCTCTCTCCCCCTCCTTCCTCGGAGCTGATGGGTGAGAGAGGCTGAGCTGAGCTAGATTTTCCCCTGCAGAGCAGCCCATCAGAAGAGCCACAGGAAGCCCATGCCACATTATTACCTTGAAAAAAGTTTAATTCCGCACCCCAACAGCCCTGATGGTCTTGGTTCTCAGGTACATTCGAAGCCCAGAGTTTTGTCTCTTAAATAGCAGCAATAGTCAGCAACAACCACACTCACCTCTGATGTTGTTAGTTTGGGGCAAGAATGGTCTTTGAATCTCAACTTCTGCATCGTGCCAGGGGAATAAAGAATGCTTTGTGAAGGAGCCTGATCACGGCAAGTTGTCACTTTCGGGTGGAGATAATTTCTGAGTATTCTGCACAAGAAGCCTGACAGAGGGCAAAAAGAGAAGACGGCTAGTTTATGTCAGGGGCAGCAGCTCCTGCCTGAGCTGGAGAAGGATTTATTCTGAATGCCTCCCTAGGAATCTGCACTGAACGGCCATCAGTTACTTTACAATGATAATGCTAAACCACTTGGATTCTTTCTTTTTTTTTTCCGAAAAAAATATATTATTTTTTTAAAAAACATAAACATAAAATACATCTTTTAAGAACAGAGCTTTGATCCAGTCATGAATAGGTACAATCGCTTACCCCACTTTGTCAGGCTCTTTCCCAAATCTCCACCATTACATCTTTTAAAATAAAAACCAAAACAGAAATTTTTCCACAATTGTAATATCTTAATCTAAACATTTACCTTTCTATTATATCACCACAAATCTTAATTTCCAAATAACACAACTCAATATTTAATTACAATTATTACCCTAAATTCTATCTATTTACCCATATCCTAAGACCCATTACATAAATCTTTAAATCCTAATCTCTTAAACTTGCACCTATAATTCTTAAACTTATCGCACATTACACTCTTCGTTTTATAGAATCATTTCATTATTACAATCTTATCATCTTCATTTTACTATTCATATCAACATATTCACCTTCATTTTTAATACTAATCCCAACATAATCATTTTACTATTACAATCTATTCCATCTTAAGTCATATTTATTTTAACTATTTGTCTCTTAATCATCTTCTTTTGGCTGTTTTCCAGCATCTTCATTTATTATTTGGCTGTTTTCCAGCATAATCATCTATTGTTTTGGCTGTTTCCCAGCATATTCATATTATTTGGCTGTTTCCCAGCATATTCATATTATTTGGCTGTTTCCCAGCATATTCATCTTTATTTAACTATCACGCCCAAAGGGAAAAAAAACTAAATCTATTGTTTTGACTGTTTCCCAGCATATTCATCTATTATTTGGCTGTTTCTACCATATTCATTAAGCATATTCTTAATTTTACTGTTTATCTCTGTGTAATTCCCTATTTTATTTTACCTTCAATCTATACATTAGTTATTCAAATTTAATCATATTGTCATTCTCAGCTTTGTCTGCAATTTAACATTGAGACTTAATTCTTTCATCAGACATATCCCCATATAAATCAATAATATGGGGACAGATGGTATTTCCCCATATACTCTGGCCTCAGTAGTTCTTAATTCAACTGTGAGACTTTTGTGACCCAATCTTAACCTTGCCAGATCTAAGAACCAGCAACTTTGGCTGATCTTGAAAAGCAAAGCTGGGTCTGGCTGGGTCAGAGAATCACAAACAAGTCAAAAGGCCCATCCTGGAAGAAGAAAATGGCAAAACACTTCCTAATTCTTGCTGAGAAAATTACCAGGAAGTGCTGAGATGCACTTGGTGAAACTCAATTGAGGAGACGCATCCTGCATCTTCCCTCCCTCTAATGTCTCTTGCTCTGAGTGGGAGCAGAAGAAGAAGCAGGAACTTCCACTGCTGGACCTTTCCCCTCCCCCCCCCGCTCTTGTCTATCCCTCAGGTGTGATTGCAAGCAGGGGCAGAGGCCATGGGCCCCTCCTTCCATGGGCCTCCCCTTCCAATAGAGCTTCCCTTTGCCAGATGACATGGCAAATAGATCTTCAGGGACAGGATTATGGGTTTTCTAGTACTTCCCAGATCATTTAAGGGACTTTTCCTAGACTCCTGAGCTGCTCATATGTCCTCCTCCGAAGTAAGTCCAATGAGACCAAAGAGTTTATCTCCCAGAGAACAGGAATATATTGAGATTTGCAGGAAGTGGGAAAATGGCTGCATATCATTTTCTTCCTTTCTGACCCATATTCAAAATGCTGTTTGTGGGGAAGGGTCTCCTGGGGGTCCTGGCTGCAACTCTTAGGGAGGCTCTCTCCCATCCACACCAGCTCAGTCAACACAGAAAGACCCCCAGGGGTTGGTGTTGGAGGGTGTGATTGTTTCACTTACCTAACAGGAAGAGAATCCCAGCTCCCAAAACAATGGCAACCACGATCACCCCAAAAATCCACCGCCCTGTAGTTAAAGGAGGAGAAACATGGCTCTTATTAGGCAGATGCTGAGTTCCCTGAATTGGAGATGCTGAGTAAGGGAAGCCTTTCCCCACCAGGAAGTGCCCCCACCTGAAGGAAGCCCCTCCCCTCCAAGGCTAAAGAGGGTGGAGTGAATGGCCTTGAAGGGCGGAAGGAGGAGCCACAACCACTCATTTATGGTATCGCATCATCTCTTATATCATCATATATCACATCTTCATACCATTGCTCTTAAGTTACCACTTTCAACTCCCCTGACAGAAATCACTTCTCTCATATCGCTCTATGTAGGATTAGATTTCTTGTTCTCTACCTGAAGACATGAGATGATACACACACACACATTTCAAACATTGGTGAAAAATCTACTTCTGCATGTCACAATCCCTCAGCCTCTCACCTGTTTCCTCCTTGAAAGCTAATATCAGGGGCTCCTGCAGGCCCTCGTGCTCCAGGTGACACTGAAAACGGTGCCTCTCCTTGGGGTCGATCTCAATGCTGAGCCAGACATAATAGGTCCCATCCGAGTTAGGGACCACGTTCCTAGGGAGGGTCTCATACTTGCAGGCCTCTCCGTCCCTCGTCCAGGTGGCCCGGATCTCCTCGGGGTAGAAGCCAAAGGCCTGGCAGATGAGGACCTCCAGGCTGTCATCCACCACTTTGCGAGTCACCTTCCCCACTGGGGGCTCTGCAGAAACAGCAACGCCAGAGTTCCCCGGATTTTGAGAATTTCTGGCAAGATTATTTAATAACAGGCAAGACCTCATCTGGCCATCCTCTCCCTCTGCTCCGTCTCCTTGCCTCAATCTGAGGGAGCCCCTAAAATGGGGCATTGGAGCTCTTCAGATTTATTTTTGAAAGGGGTACATAGAATTTGGGGTGAGGTTCTCACATGGGCCAACTTAATCCCCAATTTGGCAGACGGATTCAATTTTAAGCCCCCAAATTGAATTTGTTCAAGTTGTTCAAATGGAACTCAGGAAGAGACTGATTGTTTCCCTTCCGACCCAAACACAGAACATTAGTTTCGTTTGCTCTGCAAGACTTTCCCAGGGAAGTAGAAGGAGATCCTCAGCATGACTTTCTTGTTCAGATTTTTTAATTAATTAATTAATATTTACTTGGGGGGGGGGAAGAGAGCACTGAAGATTATTTGCCTTCTGTAATGCAATGTGGGATACTTCCTGACCCTTTTCTGTCAATAGTTTAAAAGGTGTCTTGGAAGATCAGGATAGAAACAATATGGGGAGGGGGAAGCCTACAGAAACCTGCTCAATGGAGCCCCCCTTTTGCCACTCACCGATCCTCTGCAGAGTCTTGTTCCTGTAGGAGAGGTAGCTCTGCAGCCCCTCAATGCAGGTCTCCTCCAGGAAAAATTTGTTTCTCTCAGACCATCCTGGATCCTCCTCCCACTTGTCCTTGACCTTCTGGGCCTGGGGCTGAGCTGCCACCCATCTCAGGGTCTCCTTATCAAAGCTGATGAAGTCCATCCCTTTGTAGCCGTAGTGCAAAAACCATCCTTTGCTCCCATCTTCCATGAGCTCACAGCCCAAAACCACCTGCCAGGTGTGAAGCCCTGAGAGAGTCCCAGAGGGAATGGGTGTGAATGAAAAGGATCCAGAATTATTCTCCCTAGACAGCATTAGAGTCAACCGCCTTTTCCACTTGTGGAGAGATACCCGATTTCTCCTTTCCCCCTTTTATCACACAAAGAGAAACGTCTTTTACTTCAATTAACACTGTTCGGCTGGCATCAAGCTATGTAGAATTTCTAGGTGAGGGAGATAATCGGGGTGTTGCTGTTGGGGGGGGTGTTTTTCCTTTTCAGGAAAGAAACTCTCACAATTACATCCCCTGCAACCACTGGAGGCCAAGAGTGACTCTGCCTCTGCTCACCTTCAGCCTGGTGGTCCAGTTTTGATAACTTCTCTAGGTCAGCCCTGAAGACTCTTTCAGGGGCCAGAAAGGCCTCCTTCTCCACCTCCTCCATCCAGGGCACCAGAGGCTCCATCTTCCTGGTGAGGCTGTCAAAGCGAGCGATGGGCTGGTCATCCAGGTAGCCCCTAATGAAGGACTGGGGCAGCCCCCAGCTGGGCTCTGGCAGATGCAGGTAGAAGTAGCACAGGGAGTGTGAGGGGGAGCCTGGAAAGGGAGGAGAGCAAAGAGCAGAATGGTGGGGGGAGGGTCTGCCCTGCAGCTCCATCCTCCCCAACATCTTATTGTCACACAGCAGGCCCCCAGCAAGTGGGCCACCACATCTGGGCAAGATACTACTTCTGCTGCTCCTGCTGCTCATCTGGGCCCTCCCAGCCTGCTGTTTGTGGGCCTGACCTCCATGGTGACCTCCCCCACACACCCTTGCCCATTAAGGGAAGACTCAGGTAGGCCCTATTTCAGTGGTGAAATCCAATTTTTTTTTTACTACCAGTTCTGTGGGCGTGGCTTGGTGGGCATAGTGTGGCTTGGTGGGCATGGCAGGAGAAGGATACTGCAAAATCCCCATTCCCTCCCCACTCCTGGGGGAAGTATATTGCAAAATCCCCATTCCCTCCACACTCCTGGGGGAAGTATATTGCAAAATCCCCATTCCTTCCCCACTCCTGGGGGAAATATATTGCAAAATCCCCATTCCCACCCCACTCCTGGGGGAAATATATTGCAAAATCCCCATTCCCTCCCCACTCCTGGGGGAAATATATTGCAAAATCCCCATTCCCTCCCCACTCCTGGGGGAAGTATATGCAAAATCCCCATTCCCTCCACACTCCTGGGGGAAGTATATTGCAAAATCCCCATTCCCTCCACACTTCTGGGGGAAGTATATTGCAAAATCCCCATTCCCTCCACACTTCTGGGGGAAGTATATTGCAAAATCCCCATTCCCTCCCCACTCCTGGGGGAAGTATATTGCAAAATCCCCATTCCCTCCACACTCCTGGGGGAAGTATATTGCAAAATCCCCATTCCTTCCCCACTCCTGGGGGAAATATATTGCAAAATCCCCATTCCCACCCCACTCCTGGGGGAAATATATTGCAAAATCCCCATTCCCTCCCCACTCCTGGGGGAAGTATATTGCAAAATCTCCATTCCCACCCCACTCCTGGGGGAAGTATATTGCAAAATCTCCATTCCCACCCCACTCCTGGGGGAAGTATATTGCAAAATCCCCATTCCCTCCACACTCCTGGGGGAAGTATATTGCAAAATCTCCATTCCCACCCCACTCCTGGGGGAAGTATATTGCAAAATCTCCATTCCCATCCCACTCCTGGGGGAAGTATATTGCAAAATCCCCATTCCCACCCCACTCCTGGGGGAAGTATATTGCAAAATCTCCATTCCCACCCCACTCCTGGGGGAAGTATATTGCAAAATCCCCATTCCCTCCACACTCCTGGGGGAAGTATATTGCAAAATCCCCATTCCCTCCTCACTCCTGGGGAAGGATATTGCAAAATCCCCATTCCCTCCTCACTCCTGGGGAAGGATATTGCAAAATCCCCATTCCCTCCCCACTCCTGGGGGAAGTATATTGCAAAATCTCCATTCCCACCCCACTCCTGGGGGAAGTATATTGCAAAATCTCCATTCCCTCCCCACTCCTGGGGGAAGTATATTGCAAAATCCCCATTCCTCCTCACGCCTGGGGGAAGGATATTGCAAAATCCCCATTCCCTCCCCACTCCTGGGGGGAAGTATATTGCAAAATCCCCATTCCCTCCACACTCCTGGGGGAAGTATATTGCAAAATCCCCATTCCCTCCCCACTCCTGGGGAAGGATATTGCAAAATCCCCATTCCCTCCTCACTCCTGGGGGAAGTATATTGCAAAATCCACATTCCCATCCCACTCTGGGGCCAGCCAGAGGTGGTATTTACTGGTTCTCCAAACTGCTCACAATTTCTGCTACCGGTTGTCCAGAACCTGCTGGATTTCACCCCTGCCCTATTTGTATGGAAATTAACAAGAGAGTCGAAGGCCTGAACGCTGCCCAGAGAGGCAACCTTTCCAAACAAGGGCAAAGTTTGCCGATCAGGGTGGGGCTGGATGGCAGGAGGTGGCCCATTGCCCAGGCAGGAGAAGGAAGCCAGGAACTAAAACTGCAGAGCTAAATTCTGAAAATTCTCTTTTCACTTTTACTCTCTGTTCTCACAGAAATACAAACGGGAGCCGATTTCAAATCAAGGATTGAAGTTTTAAAACCAGACTCGCTGAAGCGCGAGAGAAGGAAGATTTTTCCCTCTGGGAAAGGAGGTTGGGATTGAGGGGAGATGAGGGGGGGGAGACCCAACCCAGGAAAATGCTCCTCCCCCCCTTCTGGCTCCTCCCCCCCGTCCTAAATCCTTCCAGAAACTCACCGCAAAAGGCTCCAACCACGAAGGACCCCAGCGCCACCCCCAAGAGGGAAAGGGGTGCCCGGTGCCCCAGCATCGCTCTCCAACCAGGCGCCCCCGTCCTCTTCCAACCGAAGACACCTGCCGTCCGCTAAGGACAAGCCGCTTAGGCGCTGCCCCAGTTCGGATCCGCCAAGGAGTCCAATTCCGCTAACATTCTCCGGTCTGGTCCGCGAAGAACAGAGAAAACGGCGCTGGTCCCTTGGGGGTCCGGGAGGGAGGGAGGAGGGCGGGAGGGGGATCCTGGAGGAGGGAGGGAGGGGTCCGGGAGGGAGGGAGGTCCTGGAGGGAGGAGGGTTCCGGGAGGGAGGGAGGTCCTGGGGGGAGGGAGGGAAGGAGGGGGATCCGGGAGGAGGGGGGTCCTGGAGGGAGGGAGGGAGGGAGGGTGGGAGGGGGGTCCGGGAGGGAGGGTGGGAGGGGGGTCCGGGAGGGAGGGAGGGGGTCCGGGAGGGAGGGAGGGGGGGAGGGGGTCCTGGGGGGAGGGGGAGGGGGGTCCGGAGAGAGGAGGGGGGTGGGGTGGAGGGGGAGGGAGGGAGGGGGGAGGGGGGTCCGGGAGGGAGGGAGGAGGGGGGTCCTGGAGCGAGGGAGGGAGGGAGGGAGGGAGGGGGGGGGGGGGTGGGAGGGGGGGGAGGGGGGTCCTGGGGGAGGGAGGGAGGGGGGGGTCCGGGAGGGAGGGAGGGAGGGGGGTCCGGGAGGGAGGGAGGGAGGGGAGGGGAGAGGGGGGGGAGGGAGGTGGGGGGTGGGGAGGAGGGGGGGGGAGGGAGGGGGGGGGGGGGGGTGGGGAGGGGGGAGGGGGGGGGGGGGGTGGGAGGGGGGAGGGGGGTGGCTCGGGGGAGGGAGGGAGGGAGGGGGAGTCCGGGAGGGGAGGGGGGGAGGGAGGGAGGTCCGGGAGGGAGGGAGGGGGGGAGGGGGGAGGGGAGGGGGAGGGAGGGGGATCCGGGGGAGGGAGGGGGAGGGGGTCCGGGGGAGGGAGGGGGTGAGGGAGGGGCCGGGTGGGAGGGAGGGGGGGGGGGTCTGGGAGGGAGGGAGGGAGGGTCGGGGGGGGAGGGAGGGGGTCCTGGAGAGAGGGGGGGTTCTGGGGGGAGGGAGGGAGGGGTCCTGGAGGAGGGGGTCCTGGAGAGAGGGAGGGGGGGGGAGGGGGGTCCTGGAGAGAGGGAGGGGGGAGGGAGGGGGGTCCTGGAGGGAGGAAGGAAGGGAGGGAGGGGGTCCTAGGGAGACCTTGGGGCAGCGTTAGCGCTAAATGTCCCCGGTTACCCCGGTTGTGTGAACGCAGCCCCTGCGGTGTCTTCCTCCCTATTTCTTCTTGGGAGGCTCTCCGATCCCCTTCGCGGCTTCTCCCCGTAGGGCTTTGGGGGACCTTTGGGCAGAAGGTGGCGGTCGCTGATCTGAAGGGTTTGGGCTCCGTCAGAAGATTTCCGGCCCCCCTTTCCCCTTTCGCGCTTCTCAGCCCCGCAGCCCCGCTGCGCTCAGGAGCAAGAGGTCCGCGGGCAGCCTAACGAGCGTTTGCACCTGCAACTAGCGACACGTTCGCCAATGACAGCGCCGCCCTCCGCCCTCGCCCCTCCCCTTCGGCCTCTGTCCCGCCCCCTCGCAGCTCCGCTGACACTCTCCGCCCGTCCAAAGGCTGCGCGCAAGAGAGGCGAGTGCGCTGCAGGGGAGTAAAATGTTGTTTTGCACGTAATAAAAGGCGTTGCTGAGAGCAGCAACGGTATGCTAGCCAGATCTTTAGCGGGGTGTGTATGTGCGCGCGCTACGCCGGAGGGTTTGGGAAAGCACCGCTTCTTGTGGGGGGGGGGTGGGATCCCTCATCCCAAATCCTGTCTATGGGATTGGAAAGCAGGAGGGCAAAGTAGATCCAAGCAAGGGGTCTTCTCTTTTACTTCTGGGCCCCATTGAGAGCAGGCATTTGGGCAGGTATTTGCAGCTCACTTCCATGTCAGGAAGGGCGGATCCCAAGGGCCACATTGATGGCAACCAAGATCCCCAGGAGAGTCAACTCGATGATCTTGGAGAGTGGGAAAGTTCTTTGCAGGAAAGGATCTCTCACCGTTGCAGCCACTGCTGGTCAAACAGTATTTTCCTCTCCTGCTCATCTCATCCACCCAATCCCCAGTCTCCCCTTTTCTGGTCTTTGCCCGCTTCCCTCTTGTTCCTCTGCTCCTCCCTCCGTGAAATTAAGGTGCATCTCTCTCTCTTGCCTTTATTTTATTTATTTATTTTATTAGATTTCTATACCGCCCTTCTCCCGAAGGACTCAGGGCGGTGAACAGCCAAAGGATAAAACACAAGAATACAAAATTTAAAATGAATTAAAACAGATTAAACAATTTGGCTCAATTTTAAAAATATCCCATATTAAACAAATTAAAATTAGTATTTAAATTTAAATTTTAAAAAGGAGAAGATTAGGCCAGGCCAGTTGATGGAATAAAAACGTTTTAAGCGCGCGGCGGAAGGTGCGCAGATCCGGGATCCTCCGTATCTCCGGGGGGAGCTCGTTCCAGACTGTAGGTGCCCCCACAGAGAAGGCTCCCCCTGGGGGCCGCCAGTCGACATTGTTTGGCCGACGGCACCCGGAGGAGCCCCTCTCTATGGGAGCGTACTGGTCGGTGGGAGGCTATTGGTGGTAGCAGGCGGTCCCGTAAATAACCAGGTCCTAAGCCATGTTTGCTTCTCTTCCAAAGGCCCCTCCTCGCTCTATATCAGGAGCCTGAGCCCCTAACACTTTGGGGAGTTTGAGAGGCAGTTAGAGGAGCTCTTGCAAAATGCCAAGAATCATTTTGCCCTGGTTTGGCTGCTACACCACCTGCCCCTCTTCTCGTGGGCTTTTATTTATTTTTTATTTTATTTCAAGTTTATATACCGCACCTTTTCCCAGTTTTGTCTTTAAAAACAACATAAAAAACAACCACAAATACATAAAAACAAAACCAAACTAAGAAACAATACATACTATCTAAGGTCATTTTACAGCTTTCTGTATCGGCATACGTATTTTGCTTTTGTAGTTCTCTATTCTATCATATCTATTTACTTCTTGGTAGCAGTAAAATAACGCTATATCAACATATATATTAACACACATAATTCATAAGAACACATTCATTGTTCTTATCTACCGATTTATATTCATTTATATTTACATCTCTTTGTTCAATGTTATTCAATAACTGCAATTTAAGTTTCATCTGTACTAATGTTGGAAGAAACATCCTTCTGGGTTCTGCTCCAAGTGGGGAAA